TGGTGGCGGTAATGCACTTATAAGTCTGCGATCCGCCATAAAGCAAGAAGAGGAAGAAGACGCCTAAACACGCGCCGGCTGAAGAAGAAGACCTGAACGCGCTCAGGACGCGCTCAGGACAGTTCAGACATTGCTGTGAAAATCAGAGGTAAAAAAAACATATAAATACTGTTCAGTGTCTTGCACAGACCGATCGTTTTGTGTCTTTTCACATCAATGTATCGTCACGAGCCGCAGGGTTTAATTTGGTTTTGTTTGTGTATGTTTTGTGACTCTCAAAGCCGTGCTTCCCATCCACTGTCATTATATGACTTACAGACTGCAACGGTTTGAGTTAAAAATCTTTGTTTGTGTTCTACTGAAGAAACAAAGTCACCTACATCTTGGATGCCCTGGGGGTAAGCAGATAAACATCAAATTTTCATTTTTGGGTGAACTATCCCTTTAAATGAAACTTGGGAAAAAAGAAAAGAAAAATACAACTCCAGATGGTCTCAGACTTTTGGACTCCATTGTAAATGCAGTCAAGCCATATTTGTATTTATTTTTTAATATATTTTGGACACAATTTCTTTTTCAGTGAATGATGAAGCGAATATATTTTAAAATGTACAATCAACAAACGATTCCCTTCAGAATGATTGTCTGCGTTTCGATGCTCTTGCACACACATATAAACCCACAATACACTTGCACACCTGGCAAAATGAAATCCAAAAGCAGCTCTTGATGTCCAACAAGGTGCGGAGAAAAAAAATAATAAAAAAATTTGACCAATAATACTGCAGGAGTCCCTCCCAGGCGTGTTGTCATTGAAATGAGAGTCTTGTATCAAACAAATGAGGAGAATCCCGTGGCCGGGACCTGGGCGGAGGTGCCTAGGCTGCTAGGGGGCCTGTACAGGGTGTGCTGGCTGTGGTTGTCAGAGGTCAGCAGTGACGGGGTGGGAGTCCGGCTTCCCTTGGGCCTGAACAGGGTGCCCTGGCCCTGGGGCTGCGGGGATGGATTGCTGTGGGGCAGCAGAGGTGGTAACGGTGGCAGCGGGGGCGGGTGGGGTCGGGACTCTTGTTCCACCACCGTGTCGGGCTGGGCATAGCCGTACGCCGGAGGCCGAGAGACGCCCTTCTGTTGCCGGCGCCAGGAATTATAGTAGGTGGGGTCACTGATGTAGTGGTTGACAAAGGAGTGGGTCTTTTGCCGGTTCGGATCCAACTCATATTCGCTATCACTGCCCTGCAATTGAATGAGGAAAAAAATGTCTGTTACACCTTCACTTTCTGTAAAAGCTTGTATTTCTCTAGCCCATTTTGGAAATGTGCATTGTAGCCATTTTCAATCTGGATAAAAACCTCTGCTAAAAGATTGATTTAAAATAATATTTTATTCAGCAAGGAAGCATTAAATTGATCAAAAGACTTTTACATTATGCAATTTAAAATATTTTTTTTTTCCCACTTTCTATTCATCAGAAATTTCTGAAAAATGTATCATGTTTCCACAAAAATATTAAGCAGCAACTTTTCATCATTGATAATAATAAGAAATGTTTCTTCAACAGCAAATCAGCATATCAGAATGATTTCTGAAGGATCATGTGACACTGAAGACTGGAGTAATGATGCTGAAAATTCAGGTTTTAACATCACAGGAAAAATTACATTTTAAAAATATATTCACACAGGAAACTGTTATTTTAAATTGCAATATATTTTCAATACTTTCAGGTTTTACTGTATTTTTGATAAAACAATTGGCATAAGAGATTTTTTTTAAATGTTTAAAAATCTTAAGAAATATTATAAGACAATAGTTTATGTACAGTAACAGGAATGATCTCAAGGGGAGTCAGGTAAGATTAATAGTGTTTTTTTTTCTCAGGAGAAGCTTGAGAGGCAGAAGACTTAAGCAAACATCTCCATTTGCTCTCCATTTAATCTCATTGCTGTCGAAGATAAACAATTCTGATGTTAAAAAGAGTTTTTGTGGTTTTTCTTTCCTGTGGGGGTGGTCTTCAGTGTTTTGTGTGTTAAACACTTCATTTAAAATGTTAAATAACATCCACAAACCTACTGACAAAAGAATTGTGAAGCATACATAATATAGGCAGCTAAGCGAATGAAATGGGATATTCACTGAGACACATCCTTTAGCAATTGATTGAATTGAGAATAGTGGGAATTTTATACCAGAATAGAGGCAGGTGGTTGGGGGGAAGGGCTGACAAGTACGAGGGATTTGTGTTGTCAGCCAAAAAACAGAAAGTCGTTTCAGAGGCAGAGCAAATTACTAGGTTTTGATTAAAGATTACGAAGATAACATTTTTTTCATTTGCAATAACATGCACTGATGAATCATGGACAATAAGTTCAAGAACAGTTTAAGTAAATAGGGCCAGATAACATCAGAAAACAAAAAATGTAAGAAAATCATTGACCTTGTTGGGGTGAATCACCTGTGAGTCAGACACTTCTGAAGGCTTCTCGGTCAGGCTGCTGCTCTCAGCTTGGACCAAGTCATTGTATTTGATGCTGACATCCTCATCAGAATAGTGCAGGCTGCCAGGACTGGGTCGTGGTGGAGATCTAGAGGAAAACAGACAGAGAAACACTTTACTAATCATTCATAATCAACAAATGCTGTTTTGTGATTTGTAAGTGACAAAGTCGTCTCTGACGTTAAACATTTAGTTCACCCAAAATTAAAAAAAATTGTCCATCAAATTAGGGCTGTCAAGATATTAGATTTAAATATATTAGATCAAAATAGATTTATATTAGATCAAAAGTATATAGATATACAAAAAAAATATATAGATATTATAAATATATATATATGAATCACAAAAAATGAATCACACTGAATATTTGATTGTAGGGAGGCAGAGAGTTGTAACCATAACTGTGAAAAAGCGTACAAAGCTGTCAATCGGCACTTCCTGCCAATGGCTAATACCCCGATGTCTAACACCGCATGTTTTTTTACTGAATCATCCCTTTTCATCTCCTCCAACACGATTTTGTGTGGCAGTAGTAGCTACAAACTGCGTTGTCGCCTTTTTCTTCTTTTCTCCATTTTATAAGGGATGGCAACCAGCGTCAAGGTGAAATAACACCATACTATGCTGGAAAATGAACCAGATAGTTACTGCTACTGGGTTATTATCGTATGTGTAGTACAAATATGATATCAATTCTTCAATTGATATATATATATATACACACACTCACTGGCCACTTTATTAGGTACACCTTGCTAGTATCGGGTTGGACCCCCTTTTGCCTTCAGAACTGCCTTAATTCTTCGTGGCATAGATTCAACAAGGTGTTGGAAACATTCCTCAGAGATTTTGGTCCATATTGACATGATAGCATCACACAGTTGCTGCAGATTTGTCGGTTGCACATCCATGATGCGAATCTCTCATTCCACCACATCCCAAAGGTGCTCTATTGGATTGAGATCTGGTAACTGTGGAGGCCATTTGAGTAAAGTGAACTCATTGTCGTGTTCAAGAAACCAGTCTGAGATGATTTGAGCTTTGCGACATGGTGCATTATCCTGCTGTTGTGCGAATTGTAGCCTACGTTTCCTGTTCTTAGCTGACAGGAGCGGCACCCAGTGTGGTCTTCTGCTGCTGTAGCCCATCTGCTTCAGGGTTCGACGTGTTGTGCATTCAGAGATCGTATTCTGCATACCTTGGTTGTAACGAGTGGTTTTTTGAGTTACTGTTGCCTTTCTATCATCTCTAACCAGTCTGCCCATTCTCCTCTGACCTCTGACATCAACAAGGCATTTTCGTCCACACAACTGCCGCTCACTGGATATTTTTTCTTTTTCGGACCATTCTCTGTAAACCCTAGAGATGATTGTGTGTGAAAATCCCAGTAGATAAGCAGTTTTTGAAATACTCAGACCAGCCCATCTGGCACCAACAACCATTCCACATTCAAAGTCACTTAAATCCCCTTTCTTCCCCATTCTGATGCTCGGTTTGAACATCTAGATGCCTAAATGCATTGAGTTGCTGCCATGTGATTGGCTGATTAGCAATTTGTGTTACCAAGCAATTTAACAGGTGTACCTAATAAAGTGGCCGGTGAGTGTATATATATATATATCACAGTTATCGTCAATACCGGTTGCGACACTCCAAAGTCAAGTGATTTCATCCTGTTCCTCACAACAAATAACTGCATGGTTTCAAAAGACTTGGAATTTAATGCACAAATCACATGGACCACTTTAATGATACTTCCATGGAGCTTTTCTTTGATACAGACAGTAAATAATCAGTTTTGTGTGAACTTGACTATACAGGGGTTTAAAAAAAACGTCACAAGGAACTCATAAAGACCCAATGATGCTGCATCCTCATGGATCAATTCTCAAAGCTGATTTTGATTGGATGAATACACTCATAGAGCATTCTGCATAGTCCAGGAGAAACAACGGATGACAAGACTTCTGAAGGGAAAGGGACAGCGAATAATCCCCCAATTTCAGGGGCTACAGGGGGTTGGACTGTACTTCTTTGAACCAGTTCACTTGTTTGTTAAAAAGGAAGGCAGAAGGATTGCCGTATGGCAGGATGGGTTTACTTGATTTGCCATAATGAGGTCTGATATGCTCAAAGTCAAAGTCACTGGAGATGTTAGCTTTTGAACTGAGGCTGCTAAGCTGCCCTGCTTCCGTACATTACTTCAGTTGGCTTATAAATCAAGCTGAAATAAAACACATGGGGAAGAGGCTTTAAAGAACCATGCGGGAAGCTAATGAGTAAAGGAATATCTGATATGCAAGAGAGTTAATAAAAAACATGGCATATACCAGCCAACAGAATCAATGGCGAAACGAGGATGCTTTGTTCAACCTGAAAATGAACAAGAGGACCATGTGCTAGCTTTATATTCATGGAAAGCCTTGGTGGTGGAGGGGCTGTCCCAACAAAAATCGGGCCCCTGGGAATAAAGCAAGAGCACTAGGGGGAAGGGAGGGTTATGACATTGTATCTGTTTAAAATTCAGAGGAGGCTGAGGTTTGAGGAAGGTTGAAACAGAGAGGCGGAGCCACGTCAAACCGCCCCAACACCCTTCAGCAACCAGAAATGCGCTTCAATTATTCACGAGCGCTGAGATCATCCATTCTTCTTATCCACCCTCATCTCTCACCTCTATCTCTTCCGTCCCATACCAAACCCTTTCCTTCATCAAAGATATTTCCCGTGGCTCCATCTTGATGGGAGCTCATTAGCAGGACTGCATCCAAAGTGGAAGTCCTTCACTGCCCAGGCTCTTTGATCTCCGTCCTGGGCCTCTGCATCTGGGCAGAGAACCAGCACAAACCCCCCAGCACATTCCAGTATAATGGGCCCAGAGCGGCTTCTCCAATTACCACCAGAGGAAGCTCGAAGCAGACCCTTCCCTTCATCCAATCGAGTTAAGTTGCCTGCAAAGTCCTTTAGGTCATTAGAATAATGGGAATGCCATAGACTATTATTGCACACCGTTTATGCAAATATGTCCAAATCCAAAAAAGTGTCTATAGAAGTCCTGAAGCAGGGCGTAAACTAAAGTGGGGTTTGGGGGAGGTCTGACCTCCCCAATTAAGGCCTGAACTCCTTCAAAGGAATGAGATAAATGTATTAAACCATGTTATTTTTACATGTTACATTGGAAATGTATTTTTTTTTTTAGTTTTCAAACAATGGTTCACTAAGGATAGTGAAAATATGCAAGACCTGGTCACCTGGTCACATTTGCCCAATGTGGTAACCATAGCTAAAGTAGTCGCTCAAGCATTTTCCAGTGCAATAATCACCTGGTTGGTCATTTCATTTTTGCAGCATCACACTGGGTAGCTCCACCCACCCAAAAATCTCATTGTCCAAAATCTTGGTCCACAAAGCTGCATACTACAAAATGCTCTGATTGGCTTGCACTGTGCAGTGTGAAAACATTTTGTATCTGGTTAGGACATAAGTATTATGATCCGTATCAGATGATACACTGACAAAATGTACTGTCATGATCAATCAGTCACTTTATTGTAGATATCACAAGAAAATAAGAATTTTAAAGACATTTGGCTAAATGTGCTGACGGTGACAAAAGTAAGTACGTACATAAGTAAGTACTTTATTCCTATAGCACTTTTCTAGAGCACATGTCACTGTCTTGAAGATCTTTCTTTTAGTCCTTAATCAAAAGGGGAGACGGTATGTCTATCATAAATATGGTCTGATCTAAGCTCAAGACAAGAGAATGTGAAGAAAGATGCTTTGTTGAAGCAGCTTACATAGATGGTCAATTTCCACAGAATGCACTTTGAATGTCAATAAGACACAAAGGAGGGGTGTCTGAGTGGTCCAACTTTCACAGTCTGGTGTGTTCTTTCAGTTGACAGATTGCAGTTGGGGATTTGAAAAGAGCGACTGTCATTAAAATCCATGCCAACTCAATCCATTTAAAGGATGCCTGAAGTAGAATTTAAATCAACAGCCGGGCCTAAGCTCTATGTGTGGACAGAATACATTCCTCTCTAGCTCTTTGTTTGCAGCCATTTGGGAATTAAACCCATTGTGCAAACAATGTCCTGAACAGCATACTGACAGTGTTTACCTCAAAGAAAATTCCAGAAAAAAAACATTATATTAGCAGAGCAAACTATTCTGTTACACGCTCTCTGTGAAGTGATATCACTGTATATGTTTCTTATGAATGGAAATTGTGATTTATGCACATATACTAACCGGGTATAGATTCCGTTCTTACGACAGAAGGAATTTTTGACCGAGAGTCGACGGTTGTTGAGCTCCAGGGCAGGGAAGCGTCCTTCATCCAGCTGTACCATCTCTCCATGGGAGAGGGGCAGAGATGTGCAATTTGAATGGGCACCTATGGACAGAGATAAGAGGACAACCTATGAGGATCTACCTATCCATATCTATCCATCCATCCATCCATCTATCCATCCATCCAAATATCCAGTTTCATTTATAAATGCATCAAATTACAAAGTAAACTTTATCCATCCAACCAACCAATGATATATTCATCCAAATAAATAGATGCTTATCTAAGTACATGAAAGTTCACTTCACTTTGCTGTTGACATCAAAATGACAAAAAAGGTTGTGCATCTAATCTAAATCTAACTCTGTGGTATTTTCATGCAAAAATACCACAGGCTCTGGGTTTGGCCTTGTTGTATACATGACCATGGCAGCGAAGCAAGTCAAATCTCACTAGGTCATTCAACACGCATCTTCTAAAGTCAAAAGACCTATGATCTCAAAGAGTCGAACTGACGTGTGATTCCAGGGAGGTGAGGAGCGCAGTGACCTCCTCGCCTAAATGGACAGTGTGATCTCCCACCTTGCAGAACTTCTGGCCTCACTGGACTTCAGTAAAACAAACCGGCACCAATAGATCAGGACCAAACAGGGTCAGGCGGGTGGGGTGTATCTTGAGAGAAGCCTTTTGTGTCCTACACAAACACTTCCTTTGTGCTACTCACACATCCACAACCCTGTTTACTGACCCTGGCCCTGGCACAGCACTAAATGCTGAACAAGCTCAGAAGCAGACATGTGAGAATCCCTCCCACACACACATTAAAAATTTAAAAGTTTGGATGACCAATAATTTTCTCCTATTAAATTCGGATAAGACAGAGATATTACTTATTGGATCAAAAGACAGTACACAGAATCTTGCAACTAGACGGGTGTACTGTTACTTCCTCTACAGTCAAAAATCTGGGTGTTATATTAGATAGCAACTTGTCTTTTGAAAATCATATTTCCCATGTTACAAAAACAGCATTCTTCTATCTTAGAAACATTGCCAAGTAACGAAACATGTTACCTGTTTCTGATGCAGAAAAGCTAGTTCATGCATTCATGACCTCTAGACTGGACTATTGTAATGCACTGCTAGGTGGTTGTCCTGCATCTTCAATAAACAAGCTACAGGTAGTCCAAAATGCAGCGGCTAGAGTCACATTTTGCTTAGTTGGAACAGCAGCTACGCTAATTATGTCTCTAGTTGTTTCTCTGTTTTTGCCATTACACAAGCTTCAGTCTGGATCCAGAACACCTGAGAAGAGATGATGCCAACCCCTCATAGGACCTCAGATGATGCCACCCCTGAAACAACTTACAGAACTACCACATTTTGCTATAAGTTTGATTGCATCATATAATAATTGCTGTTAATAGTGTTCATCATCTGTTTGATTACGTCTTTAATTTATTTTTCCGTACATTTCTGCCATATGTACTTTGACTGACAGTCACCACTGATAAGCTACCACTAAATATTGTAGAAACTTAATTTGCTGTAAAGTTGCTTTGCAGTGATTTGTATCGTGAAAAGCGCTGTACAAATAAACTTGAATGAAAACTTGAATGAACACACAGATCAGCCCACAACCTGACCTCCCCAGACCTCTAAGCAGAAAGTTGCAACATGCATGGAGCCCACAGTCCATATTGGACACAAAACTAGAAAGCACTTTCTCAATCTGGTAAGCTCTAATGTAACTGGTTGGCTTTACGCGGCGTTTTGCAATAAATGCATTTTTAACCAATCCAACTGGAAACAAAAGGCTGAGTCAGTCAAATAGCTGGCTATGTGATATTTGCTCTTTTTTAAAGGCTGTGACACACCAAGCTGATGGTCGGTCGCCAGCCAATGTTGGTCCATTCTTTAGTGCCTGTCAACTCAGTTTTTGCAGTGTGTTCCACATTGTTGGCACTAGTGGTACCCCATTGGTGGATTTATTAAGTTGAATAGGTGTCAGTGAGAAAGTTGGTGAGAAAGACAAATCTGATTAGCTGTTCAAACCAGTGCACAAGAAGAAAAGTGATGTGATGAAAGCAGAAGTGACGCACACAGAGAGCTCTTTAATTTTAGGTCTTCATGTTCCTTATACATTCTAATATGCAAACATTTTCATAATGACATGGCCATCTAGAAAGTGCTAGTCCTAGTTTTGGTTTCCCTTTCTGAATGATTAATACAGACTACTGCCACCTGCTGGTATGGAGAGTTATTGATGCAGGGTTGAATGTACATGTTGGTTGGCTGCAGTCTTTCTCATGTGATCAAGCTCAACTTTCTGGCCCAGATGCACACAATGTGAGCCTACAACACAGCCGACTTTCATCACCTCTAATTCTTTTATGTTGGTTTGGTGTGTTGTGGCCTTAAGGGTTTGTGGTCCATTTCATAAGTGGCAAAAAACCACAGAGTTTTGTGTGAAACTACTCAAGAATAGTGAGAAATTACATGATTGTCACCTTCTTTCCTAAGTTGAGAGAAGACATGAAATGATAAGTGATGTAATTTTACATGAGGCAGAAAATGCCTCCCTCTGAGGCAGCAAAATGAGTCAGCAATCATGTTGATAGTAATGACTACAACCAACTGAAGCAAACATATGCTGCTATTGATTCTTTGAGCTTCTCTCAAGTGGAAAATCACCTTTTCCCAGAGCACCATGGCAATACCCACTAGTGATGGGAAAATGGAGCTAAATTTGAGTCCATTTCAATTTAGTCACGTCAGTCAGCAGAGAAAGACAGGGCAATTAGAGTAATTGAGAGATATTATGGATCTATTTACAGTGTTTTTGGCTCATCAACCCACCTGAGTCTGTTTTCTTGGTGTATTTTTTGCTCTGCCCCCGTATGATGAGGATGAAGATGAGCAGAAGGATGAAAATGAGGCCCACGAGAGCAATGACCACCAGAAACCACCATTCCTCATAAAAGGGGGAGACCTTTTGGGCTGGTAAAAGAGAAAAGAAGCAGAAAAATGGGTTTGCACAGTGTAACACAAAACCATTTAAGCTTTCTGGTGTGCAGGTTTACTGACCTGATATTGAAGGAGAAGGTGCACTTGGAGAACCGTAGCCATAGTCATTCACTGCAATGACACGGAAGTCATAGGTGACCCCTTCTCTGAGGGTATCCAGGTTAAGAGTGTACGATGTCACCTCTTTAGGGATGTCTTTGATTAGAATATCCCACAGTCCTTCATCTGTTGATGGCAAGAATGCCATTATCCCTTCTGTAACAACCTTTAAAGCTGCGTTTCTGAACATTTTCTGCTGTTTTCCTTTTAACTTACCAGATGGCCTTGCTTCTATAACATAGCGTGTGATGGGAGCCCGGCCTGGGTCACCGCTGGACCAGTGGAGAGTGAGGGCTGTGCCGTAACGAGAGATAAACGGCTCACCCGGGGGCCCTGGAGCACCTGTGTCACAAAATAGGGCAATAAGATGCTAGTGGTGCAGAAATTACATACTTCAGCTTTGGATTTATTGATATTACAAAATGGTAAATATGGTGCTAAATGTGAGGCAACAAGACCTTCTCCAGGGCCAGTGGTGATGTTGGTCTCGATCTCCGGTCCATAAGTAAGGGTTTTAGCACGGATGCGGAAGTTGTAGGTCGCTCCATCTGCCAGATCCTTGATTTTCATCCACAAGGGGGTGCTGCCCTTTACATCCACAGTGACAACCTTACTGACACCTGAATTGTGAGGAGAGGAGTCTGTAGAGGAAACACTTAAACTCTAGATACCGTGCTAGAGTGAAACACTAACAATGACATATACAAACACTCATTATTACACTGCACTGTAGCACTGTATTGATATTATTGAGTTATATCAACACACACTACTGTTCAAAAGTTTCAGGTCAGTAAGATTTAAAAAAAAAAGCAATCAATACTTTTATTTATCAAGGATGCATTAAATTGCTCAAAAGTGTCAGTAAAGACATTTATAATGTTACAATTCTATTTCAAATGAAGTTCTTTTTATAATATATTACAACTGAAATAAATTATTTCATACTGTTGTAATATTTCACAACATTAGTGTTTTTACAGTTTTTTTTGTATTCAAATAAACTGTAAATGTGCTATTCAAAACCCTGTTGAACATCAAAGGCTTCTTTCAAAACCATGAACAAATTGTACTTTGAGAAGTGCATTTTAATAGAATGGCATTAAAATTCTGGTTATATATTTTTGTACTGTTTACTCTAAAATTAAGGTTTTAATTAAGGCTTACAATGGTAGAATGTTCAGCATTCAACATATCTGATAGTCATAGCAATGTTCATATTTGTATTTCAATACTATTGGTCTTCTTTCTTACGGCTGCTTGCATACTGACTTGTAATTGGTCTATGCAAATTTACATTTACATTACATTACATTACATTTAGTCATTTAGCAGAAACTTTTATCCAAAGCAACTTAAAAATGAGGACAATAGAAGCAATCAAAACCAACAAAAGGGCAATAATATGTAAGCCTAACGCAGTGCACGTAAGCAAGTTTTTTTATATAATAAATAAAAATAAAACAAGAAGATAGAATAGAAAAAGAATAGAGAATGCTAGTGTTAGAGGCTTTTTTAAAAGAAAACAAGTAGTAAGAATAGAAATAGAAAACAGGGTGCAAGTGTTAGAGGTTCGAGTGTTTTTTTTTTTTTTTGAATTAGAATAGAGAGTGCTAGAGGAAGAGGGTCATATGAAGATGGAAGAGATGTGTTTTTAGCCGTTTCTTGAAGATGGCTAAGGACTTAGCTGCTCGGATTGGATTTATAAATGTATGCAGTAGTATGCACATTTTCTGTATGCATAAAAAACCTGATTGATCTACATTGCTAAGTTGTCCAGTATGAAACACAGCATACTATGTAGGGGACTGTGCAATGTGATGCACGTGACTTGACCTCCCATTTTCAATGTGATGAATGTGCCAGATATAATTTTAGCAATTAGTTTTTTTGCCCATTATTTGATCAGATTTGAGATGCGTACAACACAATGAGATCACGTGACAACAGTATAACATACAGTTTAAAACATATTTGTACGTGTTCTCTTTCATTTAGTATATAGACATATACTTCTGACCATGGCCTATAACGATGCATTTAATCCTATCCTTTAATTTGTGCGGAAGCAAAGGCAAACACTAAAACCTAAGCTGAAATTACATTTTCAAACTATTCGTTTGTTACTTTGCAAGCACAGGTATTGCTTTTAGGGTTTTACAGTGAAATTCCCATTCGTGTGAACAGTGCACAAGGTCATGCTCTAGGGATTGAACTAATAGAGAAAGTTGGGCCTTTGCCATTGAGGCGGATCCTCCAAATGATGAGATACGGCCATAGGTAAACAGCCGCCCATCACATCTGTTTTCCCCCAAAGGCTTGACCACTCTGGAGCTATTATGGAACCACAGCAATTCCTCTTCTGATCCCAATTACAGTGGAATTTGGCCAATGCACCACACTTGGCAATTTTTTTAACCATGCCTTGCTCAATAACAGGGCAAAGGGAGGGAACGTCACAGAGGAATGCCATTCATTAAATGCCAAAAGAAGCCTCATCTTGAACACATTTGGAGAGCAAATTTCAGATGTTTATATGTTTAAAAAAGCATGACAGGCCTAAAAGGGGGTTAACCAGCTGCTAACTGAAAGTTATCTCAATAATTTGCTCAACCAAAGCTTTTAGTGTGGTGTAGTTTCTCACCATCCACAGGCGTGCAGGGTTCATAGACCACACGGTATCCTTCCACGATGCCGTTGGGCTGCTTGGGCTCACCCCAGGACATGTTGACTGAGGTGGTGGTGAGTTCACTAAAGTGGATAAAACTGGGAGCGCTTGGAGCTGAGGAGTAAAAGAAGATCTCATTAAACCCTCAACATGATTTCATGAAAGTGCATTTTGATTGACTGATTTCAACAGATCTAGTCAGGGCTCAAAATGAACAGTTGCCAAGTGCCAAATGCCAAATGCAAGTAAAAATGGACCTTGGTGAGTAAATAAAACAGTTACTTGCAGTTGGCCGGTAACTTTATTAGGAACTGCAACATAATACATGGTATAAATCAAATTGTAAGATCAATAATATGAATCTTGCTGAAGTAAGTGATGTGAGTCTACTAAAGTCAAAATCTGTTGTGTGCCTTTTGACAGGTTTACAACAGACAAAAAGCTCACAATAGCTTTTACCTCAGGCAATAAAGGTATAAGGATTTCATCTTGGGTGTCTCAGATTTTTTCCCCCCTCAAAAAACATTCAAATGGACCTTGGTGAGTAAATAAAACAGTTACTTGCAGTTGGCCGGTAACTTTATTAGGAACTGCAACATAATACATGGTATAAATCAAATTGTAAGATCAATCATATGAATCTTGCTGAAGTAAGTGATGTGAGTCTACTAAAGTCAAAATCTGTTGTGTGCCTTTTGACAGGTTTACAACAGACAAAAAGCTCACAATAGCTTTTACCTCAGGCAATAAAGGTATAAGGATTTCATCTTGGGTGTCTCAGATTTTTTCCCCCCTCAAAAAACATTTGTGGAATTTTCTTGTCATCAACGTTCCAAAACAAAAACATGTGGAAGAAAACAATAGTAGGCCTACATGTTTTTTTAAACAGTTGCAGTTTCACACAGAAATTGAGATTAGCCTGTATATGGTATATGATGCTACAAGTGTCCTGAGTAGTGTCATAAATATTTAAGAATAAATAAATAAATAAAATAAAAAATTCTTTATCATACTGTTGTCTTAAAGGAGTCTATTTTGCTCACCCATGCTGCATTTATTTGATCAAAATACAGTAAAAGCAGAAATATTGTGAAATATTATTACAATTTAAAACAACAGTTTTACTTCAGTGTCACATGATCCTTCAGAAATAATTCTAATATGCTGATTTGCTGCTCAAGAAACATTTCTTCTTATTATCACTGTTGAAAACAGTTGAACCTTGCTTGAAAACAATGATACATTTTTCATCTTTACAGTCACTTTTGATCAATTTAATGCATCCATTCTGAATATAACTTTAACTTTTGAACAGTGTTTTATATATATACAGTCAAACCAAAAATTATTCAGACACCAGATATAACTTAGGCACTCTTCTTCTGTTAGGGTAATGTTGCAGTAATGTAAGGAGTTTGTTTGCCTTCCGGAAGATTGGCACGGGGGCTTGTGTTGGCTCATCTCCCAGTGTCTTAGTGTAAGCTGAGCCAAGATTCAGTCTCGCTTGTACTGTTCTCATTGTTCCTTCCTCACTATACTGTCACAGTCTTTAAGGGAGCGGAAAAGACTGAATTAACTTTTCTCAATCGCTTGGAATGCAGTTCTCCTTATGCTGACCTGCCAAAAAACACTTCCTCAATATGTGGCCCATTTTCTCCAACCCAGTTCCCAGCTCCCCATCCTAAACGAACTGTCATGAGCTTCCGTTCCTACACACTAACCCCCAATACTCAGAGACAACCCATCTCCTTCACAATCTAACATCACAGCCCTGATGCAATCCGTATGATGTGATCCGTCCAATTGTAAATTAATAACCTTTTCAGCAGGGAGCTTTGGGAAAACAGTGGATTCAAAGATCTAGAATATTTTCCCAAAGCATTTCAGACTAAACGGTCTTAGTATGAAGGTCACTGCTTGTTGATTGGTGTATTTTGCATGGACTTGTGTCCAGAGAATCACCTGCTTGCTGAGTGCGCCCTCTGGTGGGCAGCGAGCGTGGACCGTCCCCCGCTGCGTTGAAAGCAGCCACGCTGATCATGTAAGTGGTGTAGCCAGTCAAGTTCTTCAGCTTCACGCTCAGCTCCGGCAGAAAGAGAGTGCGGAGTCGCTCAGTCTCATTCTGCAGCTGAAACTCCCAATAATAAATCTAGAAAGACAGATCACAAATCACACAAATTAATAATTTCAGAAGATGTAAATCTGATGGGCTATCAAGCTTAATATTTTAAAGCAGCGGTCCTCAAACTTTTCAGACCAAGCCTGACCATGTCTGATTAAATCAGACTAAGTACCACTTAGACACCTACTCATTATTCTATTCTAATAGAATAGAATAGAAGAATGAGGCATTCTTGTCATATTCACACCAAGAACGATAAGTTTATGACGACGTCTGTCGCTTTAAATCATATAATCATTACCTGTATGGCCGAAAAGCTCTGAATTCAGAAGACACAAAGACTGACATAAACAGATTATTAGTATCAGTGAAATTTATATAAAATGCTAATTTACATAGAATATAATACTGATCCAAGTCCATTGTCACGAATCCAGTCCATGAACTTCCAATTTCATTGACTCTCGCACTACACACTGTTGCACATCACTCTGGACTACATATCCCATCATTCATTGCACTCAGCACTATCGTCGACCCACGCTAGCCCTGTGACTATTCTTGTGTCTTGCCCGCCATATTCCTGGTTGCCACTGATTACCCTGCCTGTCTGATGACCATGTCTCTGTCTTCTCCAAATAAAGCTTTGCATATGGATCCGCACGTCTCATGTCTCGTCAGCCCAGTTACATCCATAGATGGCAGTGCAGCGTTTAACTCCAGTGATGCTAATGCTAGCAACTCAATGCACCTTTAAAACGCATATAGTATTCTTCTGTACAAAAATATGTTATTTGAGCTGTAAAGTTGCCTAAATCTTTCTTGTAAGTAGTGGTACTTCTGTTTATTACCTTGTTGTTCTGTTTATGAAGTTGTGTGTTTAAAGGGGTCATATGATGCAGCGGATGATGTAGGACGTCGACGTTGCGCATGCGCAGCTCAGAAGTAACGAACGCGGAAGCGCAGGGGAGAGATCAAAACAAAACAAGTTCACGAATTAGAAGTACAAAACCAGGATTTGTAAAGAAGAATGTCATCCTCCCGTCATCCATCCTACGTCATCCTCCCGTAGCTGCTTCTGTGTACAACTGTTGGCACAAGCTAGATTAAAGTGATTATTATGTTTTGAATATGGATATTTTTCTTACAAAAAAAACGCATCGATTCGCTACAGAAGGCCTTTGCTCACCCCCCAGAGCCGTGTGAGGCACTTTTTAATATGGATGGATGCGCTTTATTTCACTTCTTTTGGACTGATGTATGCAACACCCGCTGACTGCTATTAAACAGTTTGAAAGATCAAAGACAATTTTTTACATTCAGTAACTCCGATTGGATTAATCTAAAAGAAGGAAGTCATATACGCCTAGGATGGCTTGAGGGTGAGTAAATAATGGGCTAATTTTCTTTTTTGGGTGAACTATCCCTTTAACTTACACGATAACGTAATTTTGAGGGGCCTGAAAACGCAAACTTTTGAAAACGTTTTTCAAAGTGCAAGTTTTTGAAAACGATACTGTTATCATCTGTGTAAACTACAAAAACATGAAATTGTGAAAACACTGACATAATGTGTCTAAAGGTATATGCGCAGACATGTAGAGTTTCTTTACAAAGTGACATTGCCAACTACATTTTTGTGGATCTGTTTGAATGGGGATCATTTTGACAAAGTTGTCATCTGTACGCAAAACTTTTCAAAAAGGAAATACTTTTTTGTTTTTAGTACATCATTGTTGTGTGAACATACTGTACCTTTAATGGTGGACATTTTTGCAAACCCATGTGAGCAATTAGATAAAAAAAGTTATTAATTTGTGAACCTGGCATTTCTATTTCTGATTCTAAACAACAGAAAACAAACATGACTTGATCGCTGAAATATTTTTAGAAGAAAAAAAAATGTGTCATATGGTAATTTGCATTAGCAGACAAGGATTTATAATGTTTCACAGGGGCACAGCAATAATTTAGGGTCTAGCGAAGTCCTTGGTTCAAAGAACCACTGTTTTATATTATAGTCTTTGAATTGCTGAATCACATTGAAATGTTGTACCTTATAGCCTTGAATATCCCCATTCTGGGCTTCCACTGGAGGAGGGTCCCATGTGACATCAAGCTGAGTAGCTGTTGAGGACTGGATAGCGACATTCTGAGATGCAGCGGTGGGCACTGATGAGGACAGAGAGAGAGACTATGAAACACCTAGACTGTTTGAACTGATTTATTAGACTTTATACTGACTGACAGCACTATTGCACGTTTTTATTAGACCGTGAAATCAACTATATTGACTCAGAGCATCAAGGAGGAATATTTGTACCCTTACCCGCCTCTCCCACGAACACTTCCTGTGGCGAGCTGTTGGGCCCCTCCCCTACCGCGTTATACACGCTCAGTCGGATCTCATAGCGCTTGTGCTTATTCAGATCTGAACAATGGAGAACATGTGCACACATACACACTCTATTCAATACAGCATGAGAAAACCTTAAGTGGTGCTAAAACATAATGATCCAATGAAGTGAGATGTTGAGAGGAAAAGTCAATGACTGTGTGGAGAGAAATGGGCACAGTCAGACAAGACCGGACGTGAGAAGAGAAACAAATGAGATTGGGCTCTCATGTGAGCAAATAAACGAAGTGTGAGAAAGAGACATTATAGTTCAGAGATTGAGTTTGGCAGGATGAGGGAATGGATGAGTGGAAAGCAGTGATGGGGACTAACTAAAAAATTAGCGATAGCTAATTCATTCAGACAGTTTATTTAAAAGAACCAGTATGAAAAAGATTCTGAAAAAAATACATTATTAATATGCATAATAGTACAATAATATAAATTAATATTAAATAAGAATTTATAAAGTAATGTTAATAAATAATAAGATTTATAAATAACATTAAGAAGAACTTTACAAAATAATACATTATTAATTAAATGTTCTTGTTTATCACAATGTTTTTTGATTCAATCAGTTTTATTGGTGGTACTTACTGTAACCTGAAAATGTGATTTGTTTAATGTTTTTGAAAGAAGTTTTATTTGACCTAAATGTTCAATATTCTAGTTTGACTGTAGTTGAACTACTTAAATTATGAACAGCTTGAAGTAGCTTTCCCAACACTGGTATAAATGATGACAAAAGAAACACTGATGAGAGAACGAATCTCAGGACTTACTGTCCAGCTCGTATTGGGTAAGTGAGGATTCGGTCAGGTTCCTCACACTGTAGGGGGCTGAAGACGGTAGGGTGGAGGGGAGGGGAGGCAGAGGATGGCAGCGAGGAAGACCAAAGGTAAAGAGGGAGAAGTATAAAGAGAAAGTAAGAAAGAGAGAGAAACCAGAGCAAGAGTGCATTAGCTCATGCTAGCAGAAAGGCTGGCAGCTCTATAGACTTTGAGAGAGAAACTAACAGATGAGGAGACAATTACCACAGCCCTCATACACTCTAAAGCTCGCATTACATTCATGTTAATGAGATAAGCCACTATAGAATCTGCCATTACAGGGAAACACGAAACAGAAGAGTTAGCATTTTTTTACTGAATTAGATCTCTTTATGTTCTTATACATGTAGTCCAGTAGTAACTTGGTTTCCAGGGTTAAGGGTTGTTGGCATTAGCCACCAGTCTAATAAATAAATTAATAAAACTGACCGAAAGATTAATTTATTTAACAGACATTAACAAAAAGTACCATAGTAGTATCATGTTTTTCATTTTTTAGGACAAGCTTCCATGGTATTGCTACATATTTTTTATTCTTTTAAGTACATGGTAGTAATACCACGATACATGAATATAATAGTCAAGTCATCATATCATACCATGACTGAACCATGAGACAAAATGTCTTTTATAAGGTTATAGTAACCACTGTAAATTTTGTAAGGGACTTGCTAGACAAGTAGATACTCATTTGTATGTTCTTTATTTGTGTAAGCTGAATGAAGACTCACCTGTGAGCTCGGCCCAGTTGGCTGAAGGGCTATTAACTGTACGCACTGTGAAGCTGCGTAGGCGGTCGTAACGCAGTTCTCTGTAGCGTACTCGAAAACCAAGCAAAATACCATTGATCTCCTCCTCGGGGGGCGGCTGGATGGGTTTGAACAGATTATGTCATTATCTCCCGTTTGTAAACACAACGCTCAACAACAGAGAAACACCCGTGTTCCCTCTCAGAGCAGCGTGATAATTTGGACCTCACCTTCCAGCGGACCAGCACAGATGTGGTGGTGTGTGGTGTCACAGATAGGATGGTGGGAGCTTTGTCGGGTGCTAATGGAATACAAACAGACAGTTTGTTCAGTTAATGACTGCGGAGCTGCAAAGACCCTGATAAGAGTGGAATAACCAAGAATGGAAACCAGTTAATTGTGGTGTAACTGTTAGCATCATTCTGATTAGAAGCCCGAAGGTCAAGCATGAGGTAACCCTGCAGTTTTTCCCCTTCACTGACTGTGTCCTATTTTGGCCACATTATGATTCATCTCAGGCCTCAGGAACTTGTTCCCTGACAGCATTAAAGCATTTCGCAGTCGCCCCTACCGTCCTGTAGAGTGGTGATTGCCTCGCTCTCCTCGCTGTACTCGCTGTCCCCAATATCATTAGTGGCTTTCACTCTGAACTGGTAGGAAGTGAAAGGCTTGAGCCTGCGAATAGGAAAAAAAGCTCGGTAGGACTACTGTGACGCCACCAGTTTTGTCCTCTATGACCCTCGAAGTTTAGAAAGTTCAGCACAGGCTCAATTCAGGCTTACTTGTCTATGACGTATGAAGTGGCCTCATGGTTGACAGAAGCAGAGTGGACGGTCCAGTTGCTGTCTGGCAGCTCTCTGTCCTGGACGGTGTAATATCGGATGGGCGATAGACCATCGCTGCCTGGTTCCCATGACAACAGCACACTACGGGCCTGGACCTCTTCCTGAGGCACAACGGGACGACTTGTGGGCTGAGGGCGTGCTGAGAGGGAGATCAGACAAGCAGCTGTAATCAATGACATGTAGTAAAAAGCACCCGACCTTGTAAAGAGCGATGAAGCAGTACCTCTCTTCTCTGTAGTGACCACCAGTGCCTCGGCCGCTTCTCCCCATCCCTTTCGAGTCTGCGCCGTGAGGCGGAACACATAAACACTCTCTGGTTTCAGTCCAGTTGCTGTATACTGTCGCGCACTTGGGATGAGCACATCAACGATAGCAGAGGTAATACTGGAAGAATTTTTCCGGTAAGCAATCTGATATGCTAGATAAGAGACACACATAAACATTACAATCACAGGATTCTGAATTTAATGATAATGTAACTGGTTTTACATGCGCTGTTCTGAGTGGGATTCGAACTAGCGTCAAATCGGCATGAGAGGTAGACACATTAACTGCAGACTGCAGCCTCTAGTACAAGACTCCAGCTACAGTTCCTAGCCACTGTTGCTAGTGTGCCTCTTGAGGTGTAACAAATTAATTGAAGGCTGATTAACTGTTACACTGTGTTCATATAGTACAGTATGACAAGTGATGATAGTAAAGAACTATAAAATTAGTTTAGTATGCACCCAACCTACCAAGGATAATGCCATTTGGCTGGGCAGGGGGTTGCCAGATCAGTCTCACTGAGGAAGTCCTGACTTCAGGGAAAAGGATTCCGACTGGAGGCCCAGGTACTGTTTAAAAAAAAAAAGAATATGTAAATGTAGCTAGCACACCATAAGCAAGATTAATAACTTATGGTGATTGATCATTGTGGTTTAGACTCTCACCATCATCAAGTGTGCGCTCAAAGATGGGTGGAGAACTAGGCATGCCATCTCCTATACGGGTGAAGGCTACAACCTGGATCTCATATAGCACGTACTTCCCAAGACCAGTGAGCTGGACACTGTAAGTGGTATTTCCCTCTACTGTCCAGAAACGCAGGGCTGACTCTGCATCCTTCTCTTTGTATACCACCTAAAAGTTATTAGAGGAAAAATAGATGCTTCTCATCGCTACAACAATGGACTCAAGAACAGCAAATCTGGTAGGAAGCCTGTTGTCAATGAACCTTATAGCCGAGAATTAGTCCATTGCGATCAGTCTCCGGCACATCACCCCAGCGGACCAGGACACTGCTGGAGGTGGTAGCAAAAGCTGAAACATTTGCAGGGCCACTTGAGGGGACTAATGTTTGGAGAAAACAAGTAAACATGCAATTAACAACCGTATGAGTGATCAGAGTTTCAAACAGGAACAGCGTGCATTTTGTCATTCATTGTACCTGTCATATGTTTACAAGATAAAGCATATGCCAATGCAGTCTGGTTACAATTCAGTACATGATGGTAAAACGTGTTGCCGACTGCGCTGCCAGCTGTTAATCAAACTGTGAATGACAGAGTATTTGACTGATGAGAAAATAACTTATTTTTTAAAAAACTTGCATGAAATAAATAACTTTTTAATGGATTAAGCAATGGAGAGCAAATGGAGAAAAAGACCCCAGGGAATTTCACAGCTCCTTTAAAGTTTCACATGAGATCTCAATAATCTCACAAACTTAGATCTGCAATCAAAAGTCGATATGAACTCAAAAATGTCTCAACAGTTATCTGAATTATACGATTGACGTTCATTTTATAGCAATATTCTCTTACTGTGTGCCAGCAATTGTCTCATTTACAGTATATCTATTTTTATTTCTCCTAAGCAATTTTAGAACATACACATTCAGTTGAATCATAACTGCAAAATCCATTAAGACTCCTGGGCAATAAAAGAACAACCTTTGAGCAATAAACTGTTCCTGTGGGCAGCCATCATAATTAATTCAAAGGTCAGCAGTGTTGTGAAAGCATTCCAGAAGTTATTTTACAAAGTAAAAGAGAGGGAGGAAAGAAAGCACAGCAGATTTCTCACCTGACTCTCTGGTTCTCCCATGAACTGGTTGGCTCCACAGTCCTGGCCCGATGCCATTGAACGCCTGCACTTTGACCTCGTATTCTGTCCACTCTTCCAGGTCCTCAATGGTAAACTCCCTCTCCTGCCTGTCAGGAATGATGTGGGACAGAACCCCAGCCTTGGAGCCTAGACGCGAGTACTGCACCCTGTAGCCCACCAGCTCGGGATTGCCATTGTATTCCCACTCTGGTAGCGGCTAGAATACAGACACGCTTCAACTTAGATTAGAAAATGTAACGTCTTAGAATATTTATCACCACACAAACGGTACTTTCCCTATTAGGAATATAAAATCACAAAAGAAATCTTTCCAATACCCCAACAGTTTCTCCCAAAACAAAGAGATGCAAATGGAGAGGTTTGTTTAAATCTCAAATTTTTGCATTTTCTCTCCAGAGAAAAAGACCTCAGGAGGGTCATGCACGTCTCTTATAGTTTCAGAAGAGACAATGGGTCTCATTCACTAATAACTGTGTAGATTATTCATATGTACACATACAGGTGATATTTTCTTTAAACACTTCTGCCTAATTCAACATGTGTATGCACAAGGATTTGTTTTTACCTTGTTCGAATGTTAATGAATTTGGAGTATTCAAAATGGGTGATCATGTACCCGAGGTTAATTATTTGCATAAAACATGCCCAAAGCATCTCCTTTCTGCACAACTTTATGGCTTTTCATGATTATCATCAAACATACAATGCTTTCTAAAGACGCAAGAGCACGCGTAGCAGGATCCTCAAGTGATGCCAAGTGTACCATCCTCAAAACCAGTTCAAACACAATAAACACCCATTTAGAATGTAGCAAGCTGTACATATGCATTTTTTCCATATGTTTGGTTTCAAGTGTTCCTACATTTTTTTGTGTGCAAATTTAGAATACATTTTAATATGATAGTTATTGATGAGTCATGATTGTGTTCAAAATTTTCCGCATATACACGGTGAATCAATGAGACCAAATGTCTCAAAACATTATCAAACAGATTTGATAACATACCAAAGTAACTATGACTAAAACAGTATCACTTGTGCCCACTAATTTCACCTAAGGAATTGGGAATAACAAGGAATAAGAAACATCAATATAAGTTGCTGCTTAAATAAAACATGAGACTGGGACATCCATTAAGTCTCCCGAGCTATGAACGAGGAAAACATGAGCAATAAAATTTTCCTCTGGGTGGAAATGCAATCTCAGGACTACTTAACAAAATAAAACGAACACACAATCAATTCCACATTCTTTTCCTTCTTAAGCATATCGATCGCATTCCAGGACACATACGTACCACCCATCTGAGCCACAGGCTGGTCTCGCTGGCTGTGCGGAGAGTGATGTTGGCGGGGGCGATGTCAGGAGGAGCCTGTAGGGTCTGGATCTTCCTAGATGGCTGGCTGGGTGGGCTTGTGCCTACTATATTCACCTGCCTCATTCGAAATCTATAATCGGATGGTAAATTAGGATGCAGCCTATGGACAGTGTATACAAGTATATCCCAGAATTCAACAATTCAGTGAGTGGACCTGTAGTAGGTGTAGGGGTTCAGGCCTTGGACCTCAAGGGATCGTGCATCAGGCTCATTGTCCAACCGATGGACCATGACCCACTCCTCGTTTTCTCCTATAACACCGATCTGAACATGCAACAAAAGAGTGAGAGAAATCAATGATGGCTAATAAAAAAGGTGACAGCTTGAGGTGAATGCTCAGCGTAAATTCTGTACTACCTGAGCCTCTACCAGCCAGCGTGAGATGGATGTTTTGCCGTCATAGCCTGGTTTGAACTGCAGGGTTACTGAACGTGGGCTGATGTTGGAGATGGCAATGTTGGTAGGAGGTCCAGGCATCTCTATAGGAACAGGAGAGGTGAAACATGCAAGATGAATGGTAGAAATGGCTCAGTGGAAAAAATAAAAGACCTGGGAACAATATCATTGCCATTCACTCACAATACCTCCTGCTGAATAAAAAAAAAAAATAAGTCACACTATATTGAACAATATACAAAATACTTTTACTTTCCCCCTCATGCTTATCTACCTCACGTTCTGTGAAAAAAAAAATGCATTCAGAATCAAAGAGAGATGCATGTTGTCCTTATTTGCATGACACACATTTCCGTTCAGTTCATTTTTGCATGCAAAAGCAGAAGCTTGCAAATTAGCATCACGGGGAACAAAAAGTGAGACAAGATAGGTTTGATTTAAAACAGTGTGTTCCATCCAGCATACCGATGGTTCATTACAAGCATCTACAGAGGATAACGCCAAAGCATCTTTCCACGGTGTCTCGTCTCACTGTGTTTTAGTGTCTGCTTCTGTCTAAGAGATGGCTGAAGATTATGAATATTAATGCTCAAAGCTGTCATATTCAGCGTGCCTTCATTAACTTCGATATCAAGAGTAAGGTTAATAAGGCCACACAGTAGAAAGTTAACATCCTAAGGGATGTACAACCCAGTTGTCTTTTCAGCTCTTACATTGACATCAGGGCTTAACGGTAAATATTTTTTCCTTCCCGTCCAGATTTAATTTTTTTTAAATGTTTTTAAAAGAAGTCTCTTACACTCAGCTAGGCTGCATTTATTTGATTAAAACACAGTAAAAACTGAAATATTATGAAATATTACTAACATTTTTTAAAAAGCTGCTTTCTATTTTTATATATTTTAAAATGTAATTTATTCCTGTGATGCAAAGCTGATTTTTCAGCAGCCATTACTCAAGTTTTCAGTGTCAAATGGTCCTTCAGAAAAAAATTTTAAAAGTTAAAATCGTACTAACCCTAAACTTTTGAACAGTTGTGCAATTTAGCATAGATTTATCATTTGAAATGTTATAATTGTGAACTTCTTAATTTTTTTTTATATTTATTTTATTTACTTTAAATTATTACTACTTTACAAAAATAATTGCAATAATAATTAATTATACAAATTATACAGTCATTACATTATAATTGTTTTATTATTATATTTTCATATCATTGTAGTCATTATATTATTGGATTATCATTATTATATTGTATTACACAGAAAACATCAAGACACGTTGCTGGAGAATGATGACATACATGGCGGCATTAGAGCAATCCTGGAGTAAGAGAAATCATGAGAAGAAACACACCTGGCGGCACACCAGAGGAAATGGTGGAGGACGACAGCTGACCTTGACCTTTGGCGGTCATACCGGCCACCTGAATGGTGTAAGTAGTGAGTGCGGTCAGACCGGTGACCCGGTACTCCTGTGTAATGTTGGGCAGGTAATGCGTGACGCGAGTGTTTGTTCTGTTGAATTCCTCCCAGGAAATGCGATACCCTGCGAGCACAAGACAGGAAGCGGTTCAGCAGACAGTCAGAAGATCAGAATAAATCGCCAAAAGTACCTGTGAGGATGCCGTTCTTCTCTGGCGGGTCTTTCCAGCTGACTTTGAGAGACGTGTCCAGGATTTCTGTGAAGCTCAGGTGACCTACAGGTCCTGGAGCTGAGCATACAGACACCCACATTAAGTATTTTCAAACAGACACCTGCAGGCCTGAACAGAACATCGTCATGGGTCGAGATGGATATAGTACGCAAAAAAGGACACTCACTGTCTTCGTGGGTGCGTATGCACTGTGGAGTACTGCGAGGGCCATCTCCCGGCGTAGTGAAGCACAGTACACAGGTGAAGTACTCCGTGAACTTCTTCAGTCCGGTGATGTAACCTACATGAACACTGTCTTGAAAATTGGGTCTCACAGTAACCAAGGTAACGTCTTCCTCGTGGCCTGGTTCCCATGCCAACAGCTGAAGTAAAAAAAATGGACAGATGTGACCACTATCGCTTAGCACAAGCCAGTGTGAATTCTGCTGCTGTCTCAGCCTGACATATATTGGAAGTAATGAAACTAATATTATAAAAGGAGTACTGCACTCTTGTGCTCAACCTCTAGAGGGCAGTGGATGGACGCTCACCTTGTATCCCTGGTTGATTCCATTGATAAACTGTGGGCTTGGAGCACTCCATGTGAAACGGACTGTGGTGGAGTTGACAGCATCCACCTGGACGTTCCCTGGTGGGACCGTGGGTACTTGAAAAGAGAAGATTTGACGGAGTGAGATGGTGAGGGAAATCAAAAAGCGGACAATGATTTCTTTTTGTGAGATCTATTAGACATGATATATAAACTGTTATCTTACATAAAAAAATGGACCTAGAATGAAAAGTAGTTAGTTTAAATTGGTGATTTTGGTCTGTCACACCTCACAGGTCTGTATCTAACCCTAATATTATACAACATCATAATTGTGACATAATCTGTCAAAATACTGTAGCAAATATTACATTTGATATTAAATGTTTAATCATTTTCATATGAAATGATTAACTACATTTAATGACCAAAAATGTATATTCAGCTGTGAACCACATATTGTGCACAACCCTGTAGCTGCATGATTTTTCCGCGTTACAAAAAAATTTAATATTCCTTATTAAAATTGTGATACACCGGAAGTGACATCATTTGGGCCCTTTCTTCAGCATGGCGAGAAGTAAATAATCTCTCTTTTTTCAGTTTTACACAAACTGTAAACACATGTCAATGGCATTTGTCAAGCTTAACTATTCAATCCGGTTACCCAAGTTATTGTAAAAAAAAAAATAATAATAATTAAACAAATAATTGTCTTTATTTAAAAAAAACTATTAAACAGTATAAAACTAACTGATATTCAATTTGATATTCAATCTGTTGAAATTATATTTATATCAATTATTAACTTATTTTAATGACCAATAACAATTATTTTGCTTTGACCTGCGTGTTGTGCGCAACCCTGTAACTATGTGATTTTTCCCTATTACAAAAAATGTAAACCCATTCTTCAATGTAATGACAAGTAAAGTAAGTCTTCTCATTCAATTTTATCACTTTTTACACAAATTGTAGTGTTGATGGCATTTGTTAAGCTTAAATATTCAATCTTGTTACTGTAAGAAAAAAAATATTAAATTATAAAAACATTAAATTAAGCTTTAAATCTGTTAATGTAAAATACTCTCAAGATCCTCACCGCCTTGCAGAGTCCATTCTGTGACTTTGGGGCTGTAGACGCCCTGGCCCGCCCCGTTATAAGCAGCCACCTCAATCTCATAGTTGGTCCAAATGATAAGGTCCTCCAGGAGAAGATTTGTTTGGTCTGGGTTAGTGATGTTCTTCATCTGACAGTCCACCGGTAATCCAGACAGACAGTACCTGAGCGGCATGGCAGGAACAGTATGAGACACGGGAAAAGCATCAGCCCCGTGACATTTGAGACTCAAAAATAGGAGTTTTCACTGAGAGGACAGTATTGGCTCTAGTGGGATGTGAAGCAGGCGAGGGCCGGTCTACTCTAAAAGATGAAGTGCTGCTGAGAGCAGCTTGATTGTGTAAAGGACAGTCCCAGAGATCTCTCACCTGATGATATAGCCTTGAAGCGGCCCGTTTTGGTGGCTCTCAGGGGGAGGCTGCCACTGGATCATGATGGACTGGTTGGTTCTGCCACTGGCTATCACTGTCTGAGGAGGGGCGCTGGGGGGCTCCTCGGGTAATGATACTCTAAAAACAGGGAATTGGGAGAAAGAGCAAAATAGATTAAAAGAGTAAATGTAATGGCCATGTGACGCAGGTTTGAGTCTATTCACTTTCTCTCTATCCAATAATTTCCCTGTTTAGTGTACCATCTAATACAGAGGCAAAAATCCAAAATGTGTCATTTAAAAGAAAGACAGAGAGATTAAAAGAGTAAATGTAATGGCCATGTGATGCAGGTTTGAGTCTATTCACTTTCTCTCTATCCAATAATTTCCCTGTTTATCTAATACAGAGGCAAAAATCCAAAATGTGTCATTTAAAAGAAAGACAGAGAGAGGACTTTCTGAAAGATTAATATTACATAAGTTGATGTCTAGATGTCTCAAAACACACTAAAAATGTGGAAATTAAAAAAATTGTTTTTTCCAATTTTAACCTGGAAACCTTGGACTTTCTTCTTTCAGACGAATGCAATCGGAGTTATATTAAAAATGTCCTGCCTCTTCAAGCTTTATAATGGCAGTGGATGGGTGTTATTTTTCAATAGTCCAAAAGACCTCAAATAAAGCACATCCATCCATAATAAAAAGTGTCCCACATGGTTCCGGGGGGTGAATAAAGGCCTTCTGAAGCGAATCGATGCGTTTGTGTAAGAAAAATATCCATAATTAAAACTTTATAAACAGTAATCTCTAGCTTCTGCTAACAATACAATAGAACGCCATTCCGGCGGATGACGTAGGACGTAGGTGTAGCGTAAGGTTTGGTGAGAATATGATAGTTCGTTCAATACTTTGTTTTGTACTTCTAATTCGTGACCAGTGTTTTGTTTTGCCCTCTCCACTGCGCTTCCGCATTCGTCACTTCTCACCAGCCCTTAGCTACGTCCTATGTCATCCGCCATAACAGTGTTATTGTGAATGTGCGTACGACAGTTAGTGGAAGCTAGAGATTACTGTTTATAAAATTTTAAATATTAATTTTTTTCTTACAAAAACGCATCGATTTTGCTGCAGGAGGCCTTTATTCACCCCGTGTGGGACACTTTTAATGATGGATGGATGCACTTTGTTGGACTTCTTTTGGACTATTGAAAAATAACACCCATTCACTGCCATTATAAAACTTGGAAGAGCTAGGACATTTTAAATATAACTCCGATTGGATTCGTCTGAAAGAAGAAAGTCATATACACCTAGGATGGCTTAAGGGTGAGTAAACTATAGGGTAATTTTCATTTTTGGGTGAACTATCCCTTTAAGAACCTTGATGCACGTATCTCGAGCAGGGGCCCTCGAGATACGTGCCTCCTCTCAGCGTGGAGATGATCAAAGACGCCACAGCCAAAACTGGCTAATGCCACAGAGTCAAAAAAATCCAGCAAGATTCTTCTTAAATCTATTTATCTTGACATCTTGATATCTCCTGCGTGAGAGCTGCAGTTCTGTGGCTGAGATAAAGCGCAGTGTTTTAGGATCAAAGAAATAGGCGCTGATCCTTGAGCGGCGCAGTGCTGTTATGTCACCCTCACCTCTGCGGGTTCCTCGTCTGAACGCGCTGAGAGAAGAATGTCTTCTGATCTGCGCGCATGCAAGTTGCAAAATGAGTGGAAGTTGTTAGCTGAGAGAATAGATCTGGTTTGAGATGAGCTCAGAGTCTGTGGGAATAAACTGTTTTGCATCATTGCCTAAGTTTAGGGTGTGTTTGTCAGAATCAAGGAGCTTTATAATACCTGTTAGCACTCCCATTCATCACAATGGCAGCTGTTCGCTCAGAAAGTACATGATTTTTAAATCTGTCATCTTGGTTCAAGGGAAATTGGTTTAAATCAACGCAATAACTTACCCATAATAGATAAAAGATGATCATTTGTTGCCAACTACTGGTTTAATTTGTTCACTGAAAATTTTTGTTGAACTGATTCAAACGACTTAACTTTCTGAAAGATCATGTGACACTGAAGACTGGAGTAATGATGCTGAAAATTCACAAGAATAAATGACCTTGAATGATGTATTTTTGATCAAAGATTGTTGAGCATAAGAGGCTGCCTGCAGAGTGAGTAGTTGCTAAGCAGTTAAACCTTGCACTGGTTTTGCATATACTAATTGACATGATAAATTAGGTGTCGAATGATGAAACCTCCACGAAGAGTTCACTTCAACACCACTTCGACCACTATTAAGTGTGTTGGAGAACAATGTGGCATTCTTATAATAGTGTTTTGTTCATTTTCGCCCTCAGGGATGTTAGCTCTTGACAGGGCATTGCATCAGCAACACATATTTTTTCCCTAATATTTTCCCGGTCTGTTTCTTTTAAGTCCGTCGAGGACTTCGGTATCCTGGACGGCAGATTATTGATTTGCCACAGCCGTGCATGCGCAAAGAATGTTTATTTTCCACATGCTTTCAGATCTCATCCTCGATCATTGATTCGAGCTTGACTTTTCCATTTTCAATCAGCCTCCCTCCCGCTGTAAGGCAGCAAAACACGCAACACTCTCCAGCTGATCCGAAGAAACTCCAAATGTGACTGTTCTATCAGATTACAAGAATCAAATATCTGTGAACGGCTGCTTCCTTCATAGCAGGATCCCTTAAGACACAAGCAGATATGAATATTAATGAGAAAAAATATTCATGCAGAAATGTTGTTTGGCGTTTTCTCGGTTTTTGGGGCATCTTTGAGTCAGGATGTCTCAGACGTCACAGGTGTTCTCCTGGGATCTGAGCACATTTGAAGGCGGGAGTAACTTGGTGCTCTTTGTAATGCTGTAGTAGACAGTGGAAAGCAGTTGTACAAAAGCTGCTAAAAATCTATCAGTGCACAGTTCCATTCCTAACAACACTGCGGGCTGCAGGCTCCGATTCAGCTGAATAATACACTACCTCCCTCCTCACGGGGGCTACAGGTCTGCGAGAAGAATGTCTTCCCACATTTGCTGGGCTTTCATGGCTATTCTTCCACGCCTAGGTGTGATTCTCACAGACACGTCTGAGCTAGTCCTCGGGACCCCCCAGGAAACCCTGTTCACTGAGTGTCTGATGGAAAGCATGGACTGAAATCACTAGCTCCAATCTGATTGGCTGGGATTATTCACTTATGGAAGTACAAGCACAGCGGTTTTCTTAGCAGTCTGTCAGTGCAATGAGAAAAAACACTAGATTCGCCAAAGTTTGCCAGTTGGTAGTCTCAGCCTCAGACGTCACGCCCACGGACTGTTGGCTGAACGTCTGATGCATATGGTACAAAAAATTGAAGAACTTCAGGAGTTTCAAAGTCATTATCTGATTGGTTGAATTCTACAGGATTTCCGGGAGACGTGTGTGGCACGTTCTTTAACGTTCCGCCTGGATAAAAAGGGGTCACCGTGACGCCAAACCCCCTCATGTTAGAAGAAAGCTGTCGTGTTTACAGCTGTGACAATGAACGCTTATCAGGATCAAACGAACGCTGGATTTTCAAAAGTATGTGAAATATTTCCATGTCCCTAAACATGACACGGCACACAACAAAACGTATGGCCTTTTGGGCAGTTCTTTAAAGTTGCCATGGTTCCCAGAATTTCTGCCATCAGTCTGAAGGTCTGGCAACGCAAGACTAGCCCGTTGGTGGTATCAAAATAATTTTATTCTGATCAGAAACGTATAAGAACATTTTCAGTATTTTCCAAACTATTCGTGAAGACTGAATGAGTGCCATGAGCATCTTTCGCACAGACTACAGCCCAAAGAATAAAGTTTAGAATAAAATAAACGTTAATTGAAATAAAATAAGATATATAAAAACTTAAACCTATTTTTTTTTTCAACTAGGTAACATTTCTCATTTTCATTTAGTTTAATCTGATGTACTAAAAATAACTAAAACTAAATAAAAAAAATAATAAAAATAGACATTTAAAAAAAAAAAAAAAAAAAAAAAAAAAAAAAAAAAATTACAAAAAAAAAAAAAAAAAAAAAGACAAAAACACAAAATTACTAAACTTTAACTAAAATTACAATGAAAATGGAAAATATAAAAATAAAAACCAATTCAAAAAATTTATTAAAACTACAATAGTATCTCACTGATACTAAAATAACACTGGGTTGCACATGCGCCTTGCATTTTTTTGCGCTACTTATGATGTCCACAAGGTGGTGGCACTTTTGCCATACTTTTGTCAGAACAATAACAAAAATAACAACAAAATCGAACTCCTGGAGGCACGACAAAAAAAGACGCACACAAGCGCTTGTGTGAAGGGGTTAAGAGATACACGATTAATTAACTATAGTTACACAAATAATTAACTATAGTTATTAACTAAAGAGTACAGACATTTTTATCGGTCATAACATCTGGAGAAAAATTTTGCAGTAACTGGACAAACATGAAACTTGAAAGTTTGCATGTGTTGAAAATTTCTATGTTTATGCACACTATCAAACTGAGTTTAAACTTTAAAAGTCTAAGCGTTCGTCTGTACGCCTACGCACCATTATTTACATTATATACATTTCACACACATATACACACACACACACACACACACACACACACACATAAGAAGTCTATTATGCTCACTAAGACTGCATTCATTTGAACAAAAATACAGTAAAAACAGTAATATTGTGAAATATTATTGCAAATTAAAATAACTGTTTTCTATTTAAATATATATATTTAAAATGTAATTTATTCCTGTGACGCAAAGCTGAATTTTCAGCATCATTACTCCAGTTTTAAGTGTCACATGATCCTTCAGAAATCATTCTAATATGCTGATTTGTTGCTCAAGAAACATTTATTATTATCGATTTTGAAAACAGCTGTGCTGCTTAATACTTTGTTTTCAGGATTCTTTGATGAACAGAAAGTTCAAAAGATCATAATTTGTTTGAAAAAGAACTCGTTGAAACATTATAAATGTCTACTTTTGACCAATTGAATGCATCTTAATAAAAGTATTAATTTCTTAAAAAAAAAAAAACTTACTGACCCCAAATTTTTGAATGGTAGTGTACACATATTTATACAATACAATTACATATAGTTATAAAATAAACTGTTATTCTTTGATATTTATAAGCTACAAACAATTTGGCAATACAGATGTACAATTGTTTGTCATGTCAATAAAGCAAACAAAATGATGCTGAGAGAGAGATAAACAGAGTTTTTATAATAAATATTGACTCCCTTGTTTATATAAATGTTGCCTCAACTGCTTTGCCAATTCACCATTATTTATGACGCAGATAAAATACAATGCACTTCTCTACTTGAAGAAACATTGATAAAGAGAGAGAGAGAGAGAGAGAGAGAGTGAGAAAAGGGAAAGCAGTGTTTGGATGTTTGTTTACTATTCATTGTGCATTCTCAACAACCTATTGTCTCAATTCTTTAAATCCCAATAGAAAAACAAAGCTCACAGATACAATCCAAAACACCAAAACGATGTCCAAGAGGAAGAGAAAACCAGTGGCAGAATGTAAATCTAAAAGGCGAAAGGACACAGTGGGTAATTAGCTGGGCAATAGCATCTCTGACATGTACCTGACTCTCAGGTGAGCGCTGTGAGAATCATTGCCTCCCACAGAGGTAACTCTACAGGCGTAGGTCCCAATGTCCCCTGACCAGGTCTGAGATATATGTAGGGTGCCATTGGAGTCGAGACGCAAGCGAGGGCTCGATTTCATGTCAATAACCACTCCTCCTTTCTCCCAGATGTGCCTGTGAATAACAGGGGCCTATTTACATATTCTTCTTCACAGCAACAATACATGGCAAAGCTGTTTAATTACTGAATAAACACACACGCATATACACAACAGAAAATTGTCCTGCACACATATATGCACTCATACATACACATCAACACTTCTTAATTGCAGCCACATCGTTTCCCCATTTAATCTCGTCTGTCTTGCGTTTAATTAAAGTCTCCATCTAAGTTATTGCTTTGTTTACATATTCATCCGTTTTCCCTGATCAAATTAATAACAGCAGCCCAGCAGGTGACAGTTAAATCGAGTCTTATGAGACTGAATGTAATAAACACACAGGACATGAATGGATGGAACACGCTAGCATTGATCAAAGATGGAGCGAGATAAAGCAGGGTGTGACAGAAAGAGAGAGAGAGAGAGACAATAGACATTTAGACAGAGTTGACAACAAAGACATGGAGAGGAGGGTGGAGGTTGTACCTGACTGTGACACTCGGGTCATAGGACACCCCGCAGGTCATGGCTGCTTTTGTGCCCTTGATCACGCTCTGGTCCTGAGGTGGATTAGTGATCCGCGTTCGAGCTGCACACACAAATCACAGTGTAGTATCGTAATCGATGGCATTGATTTACCCTTCGAGTGACCCTCCTGACTGTGTGTCAAAGTCTCTTTAAATATCAGATAATTTGACAAATGTTTTATAACAAATCAGGGTCAGTTCAAGTTGTAAAATGTCATTCGGTGTTACTCCCCTTTTTATGATTAGGACTTCTGCTAGCAGCAACCAACTGGGCCATGTTAACCAGACAAACCTTGACTCGTTGATTAGGACACAGTGTAGATGTAAGAAATCGAACAGTGGGTCACTTCTCATGGCGGCCAGACAGACAGACCCTTATTAAATGGGTGGTCAGAAACTGCGATAGAAATCACACGTTATATGACCACACTATATGAGACCATGCACTCACCCCACACCACCAGATCGGCCGAGGCTTCGTCAATGCCACGGGAGTTACTGGCCATGCAGGTGTAGGATCCAGCATCAGACAGGTGAGAGGGGCTGATCAGAAGACTGCCAGACTCCAGCAAAGTGAAACGCGGCAACTGTACGGAGCCGCTTGCCAGAACCCGATCAGCTGTGCAAAGATGGAGAGATGGCAAAGCACAAGGGAGAGAGAGCGAGAAATGAAAAAGAAGATCAAACAGACAAGACGGTCCCCAGCTCATCAGAAGACTGTTGATTGGACACTTAATTTAGCTGACATCCCTAAGCTTGCAAAGATACATTAATGTTCGTAAGTCCACGAGACACTGATGAATATCTTTCTTTGAGAGAGATGACTGATTGGAGACTGACCTTTCTGCCATGTGATTGCGGGCCGCGGGGCCCCTGAGGTCTCACAGTGTAAAATGATGGACATGCCATCAATCACAGCGCTGTCAGAAGGGCCGGCCGTGATGTTTGGGGCGATACCTGTGGCAGAGAGAGAGGCTGCTGAGACACATATGCACATCTCTCAACACGCATGCACACACACACACACACACACAACACAGTATAGACTTTCCATTGACTTCTATCATTGTTATACTGAGCTAATTATATTGTCTAAACCCGCTTCTATCTCTAAACGTCACAGAAACTCTTTTGTATTTTTAGAGTTTCCTGAAGACATTTAGTATGCTTATTAAGCCATTTTCATTGAGGGAACTGTTGGATGATCCATTAATGATGGGGATTTCTGGATTTATTATCCTTGTAGACAGATATTAAATTAGTACGGAATGATCTGGAATCACATTCTGGCACCGATTCAATCCAATTCACCATATATGCTCCAGTCCAGTTTTAGCTTCACCCTGGACAAAAAAAAAAATGTCTCTATTTAAAAAGTGTAATCACTCAAAAAAAACTTTTAAAGTACATTACATTAAGCATTACGCTTCCCTCTAGTCAGGGGTGCTGTGTTTTTCTCTCACCATGCCACTCTGAGGGCCGCTCTCTGTTCCAGTGAAACAACAAAATATAAAACATACAAATATGCCCCATTTCTGAGAAACAGCCACTGATATGCAGCAGCAGTTTTGCTTGGTTTATTAAAAGCTGTAAACACGGATGTGATATATGTGTGTGTATTTTTCTTTGGAATTTATTATTGTTTGTTTTCCAGCAATATACTGTGCACTACTGTTCAAAAGTTTGGAGACAGTAAAATTTTGTTTGTTTTTTGAAAGAGATTCATTGTTTTATTCAGTAAGGATGCATTCAATTGATCAAAAGTGACAGTAAATACATTTATAATGTTACAAAAGATTTCGATTTTAATTAAATGCTGTTCTTTTGAACTTTCTATTCATCAAAGAATTCTGGAAAAAAAATGTATCACGGTTTCCACAAAAATATTAAGAAGCAGAACTGTTTCAACACTGATAATAAGAAATGTTAAGACAACTGGAGCAATGATGCTAAAAATTCAGAATTGCATCACAGGAATTAATTACATTTTAAAAATTATTCACTTAGAAAATAGTTATTTTAAGTTATTTGTAATAATATTTCTCAATATTACATTTTTTCTGTATTTTTGATCAAATATGCAGCCTTAATGAGCATAAAAGACTTCTTTCAAAATAAAAAAAATATTTTTAAATAATTAAAAATCTTACAGACTACAAAATTTTGAACAGCATTATATATGCACACACACACACACACACATTTGGCTATCTAACAGGGGACATACCATATACTTTTATTTGTTTTATATTCATGGAATAAGAAATATTTGTCTATTACTTTATTCATAAATATTGTTGTCAGGTTTTGTCAGACTTATCTCACATCTAGAGGAAAATTGTAATACACACACACACACACACACACACACACACACACACACACACACACACACACACACACACACTCCCCAGAGGATCTAAATGTGAAAATATAAGAGCCATTGGTCCCTAACTTGACTAAATCATCAAAGATGTCTTTATCAAGCTGTCTAATATGCATTAAATAAATGGTGGACATAATAAAGACCTGTCCAGTGCAGACAAAACAACCATTATTCTTTCTATCTCTCACTCTTAAACTTGGAATAATCACTCTTCTTAATCTTTCCTTCTTTCTTAAAGTAAAAGCAGCTGATAAGTCACAGGCTTTATAAAATGACACATCTGACAGGAGATAAGGAAGAAGATGAATGTAGGAGAGAAGTGTAATAAATTAAGACAGCATTATTGACAGGCCCAGATGGTGCTTTGACGTACTGGTGACAGCAAGGTACGTGTTCGTCTGGATCTCTCCTGCTAAGTTGCGAGCGAAGCATTGGAACATTCCAGTGTCGTCCGGGAGCAGCCCATTTATCTGCAGGCTGCCGCCCGCCAGGACTCTGTAACGAGGTGTCTTCACGGGGCTTATGGGTACAGCATCCTTATACCACACTATATCTGGCTGAGGAACACCTGCAGGGGCATAGCAAGAGGTGTGTTATCTAACACATCCACACACACTGCCTCTCTCTCTCTCTCTCTCTCTCTCTCTCTCTCTCTCTCTTTCACTCACACACACACACGGCAGAGGCGCACAAACTCACCGCGAGCTTGGCATGCGATGTCTACCACCTTCTCCATCTCAGCAGTAATGTGTCTGTCGGGCTCCTTCACAAACTGGGGATGTTCTGGGGAAGTTCAGTTGAGTCAGTCGTGAGAGTAGTCTTGACCAGACTGAACTAAAACACTCAATATCACTGAGATATTGAGAATGCACAGGGCCTTCAGAAAGTATTCACCTTCTCTGTTGCACTTCGTTATTGTTGCAGAATAAAAGAAATCATGCAGGGTTTTTCATATTTTAACATGGCTGTCAAAAAATCATTATAACGTTCACTTCTTTTTTTAACAACGTACTGTATGTACAGTGGAGTGTTTAATTATCTGATATATGACAGATCACACTAGATGCATTAATAATGTGCTGAAGCGTCATGCCCATTCAAACTGAGAAGGCACTTGTGCACATTTGCACCTTTAATAATTAAGCTTTAAATGAATATTGTGGATAAAATATTTTCAGAGCTGAAAAAAACGCAAAGCAAAGCAAATGTTTTATAAAACATGAATAAAAGCAATAAATCAATAAAACAATAAAAAATCAATAAAATTTACATTTTAAAATATATTTAAACAGAGCAAAGTTTTTACAAATTAATTTGTCATCCCAGGGCCCCCAAAGTGTTTTACATATTACATATTCATTTAAATATCAGCCGTATGTGGAAATGTCTTTAGCTTGGGAGATTTTGCTCAACTGGTAAACATTTTTGGGTCAGTAAGTTATTGATTTGTTTGTTTGTTTTATTAAGTTTCACTCAGAAAGGATTCAGTAAAAAAAAAAGTGTCAGTAGAGACATTTATAATGTGACAAAAATTATATATTTCAAATAAAAGCTATAGAAAGTATCATGGACTCTACAAAAATATTAAGCAGCACAACTGTTTTTAACATTGATAATAATAAGAAATGTTTCTCGAGAAGCAAATCGGCATAGAATGATTTCTGAAGGATCACGTGACACCAAAATGTGTAATGAGTAATGATGCTGAAAATTCAGCTTTGCATCACAAAGAATAAAATATATTCCAATAGAAAGCAATTATTACAATTTCACAATATTTTTTAGTTTTTACTGTATTTTTGATTAAATACATTCAGCCTTGGTAAGCATAAGAGGCTTCTTTCAAAAACATGAACACATCTTACCAACCCCAAACTGCTGAACGGTTGTGAATGGTACTTTAGGATTTGAACACAGGTTCCCATTTGATATTAAACAAAAACCTTTCTTAAAAACAGTGCAACAAACAGCAATAGAGATCAGCCCTGCCCAGAGGAAAAACATATTGCTCAGTGGTTGCTTTTCCTAAGCTCAGGAGACTTAGATAAGATTCTCATATATCATATTTCATTTTAGTATCAACAGCATTTCAGATGTTTCTCCTAAAATTCCTTAGGAGAAATAGAAGTAGACACAAATGAGACTTGAGAAATATTTGAGGAGAAAAAAAAGAGTCAAAACTGAGAATGTGGTGGAAGAAACACAGAATATCTCTTTATTGTCTTGCTGCAATCTCTATCAAGACTCCACTATAGGAATATTTTATTTCTCAGAGTTTGCTCTTTATAAACTCAGGAGACTTAGTGGTTATTCTCATGTATTTCTATTTTTAGTATTATCAGTGTCTCAGATGTTGCTCCTAAACTTCCTTTGGAGAATTGATGTTACTGAGATCTTGTTTGAAACACTGGAAGAGACAAATATGAGACCACCACAGACTTTAGTTTAGGAGAAAAATCTCAGCACAACGTGTGATGTTCTTGAGATGTTTTCTAAAGCTTTGAAGGAGACAAATGTGAGAGATCCAGTGTCTCTAAGGAGAATAATCTGAGCGCTGTGTGTGATGATGATGAGGTCTTTTTTAAAACTTTAAAGGAGACAACTGTTAGAGTGTTAAGAGTTTTTGTCTCAGGAGACAAGTTTGAGAAGCAGGTGACTCAAGCAAAAAATATCCATTCGATCTTAAAGTAAACTAATATCTGTATAGGAGAAATATTTGAGATATTGATTTCTCTTTCCTCTGGGTGCTCTTCTTATGACCCAGGAGAACTTCAAGATGAAGTTACTGTTACTGAAGTTACTGTGTGGAAAATACCTAGACAAGATTATAAAAAAAAAACTGGCAAGCTTAGAATCTTCTTTAGGCACCATGAAGCTCATCATAAAAAATGGAATAAACCCAGAAAGCCCTAGGATTAAGCTATCTCAACAAACTGAGCACCTGGACCAGGATATCTATCAGAGAACGAATGTAGAGTAGTAACCAAAAAAAAAAAAACAGCAGCAGTGTGAGGATCTAAAACTGTTCAGACATCAATAATCTTCAGTTCTTCCCAGAATCATCTTCCTAGAAAAAGGCCATTTCTGTAGAAGACCGATGCCCAGATTCACCCAGAGTTTGCTAAAAATCCAGATGAGAAAACGGGAAACCTTTTGGAGGAACATCTTGTGCCTAAACTTGAGCTATGTGACGCTTGAAAGGAAAGCACTGTCTTTGGTCCAACACCCAAGTAATACCCTCCTTACCATCACTCATAATAATAGTCTTCTTTCAGCTGTTGGCGTCAAAAGCAACATGGATACAGGAAAATCCTTGAGAGAACCTCTTTCAGTCCACCAGATATCTGGGTTTTGCTCAAAGGCATATTTTCTATCAGAGCAATGACCAAAAGCACACAGCAGTAAAGTATTTTAAAAAGAAGGTTAATGCTTCACAATGACCCAGCAAAAACGTTGACTTGAATCCAATTGAAATCTGGTATAAGACCCTCTCCATTCATTTGGTAGAGTTGGAACATATTTGCGTGATAAATGGGCGGAAATTAAACAAAGTAAATGTTCAAGGCTCGAAGAAACATACTCAAGGCTGTGACTGCTGCAAGAGGGCTAGTATTTACCCTAAGAGATGAATACTTTCATATATGAGTCTTTCATCTTGGAGAAATGAAGGTTCTTGAATGATTTCTTTTTTTTTGCATGCCTTTGTGTTGACATTTTTGAAGATTAAAAGGGAAAAAAATATGCACAGTGATGAATACTTTCTGTACAATGCACATTTTAAACACAATTTTGACAAGGAGGAGGAAAGTGAGGTTACCCAGGACGTGCAGATATGCTCCGGCGCTGACAGAGGGGGCGCTGCTGCTCCGGAGGGAGGCTTCACATTCATAGTAGCCGCTGTCACTGACCAAGGGACCGCTGATGGTCAGACGACGACCAAAGTCCCGGAGGCCTCGGTTTACCAGCACTCCATTTTTCCGCCATGTAATGCTGAGCTTAATGAGAGGCCTGGAGGTAGAGAGAGAGAGAGAAATACGGATAAACACAAGCGGGGAATGAGAGATAGGAGTGGCCCGAAGGAAACAAATAAACAGAATTGAGTTTTAATAGTTTGTTAGAGGTCATTTTGAGTGCTTGTGTACACACACACACACACACACACCTTGCATTGGCCACACACTCCAGTGTGACTTCAAACGTGCCCACCACCACACTGGTGTTCTTCGGCGGGATTATAATAGAGGGAGCGATGGGGTCTGCTGGGCCGCCAATGTCTAAAGAGAAGCAGAAGCACATAGGCAAGAAAATTACAAATGAGATCTCAATAGTTTCTCCTAAATTGGTTCGACTTGCTGTCTGTAGTGGCACAAGATGCGACTCAAGCTGTAAATTGGCTTCCTGGGCTACTCAAATACTGAATATTTAATAGAAATTAATCGAAATAGCTGTTTGTATACAGTACTGTTTAGAGTCAGTAAGTTTTTGTTTGTTTGTTTGTTTTGTTTTTTTGGAACAAATTAAAGTGCCCCTATTATGTGTTATGAAAGGTTCATATTTTGGTTTTGGGAGTCCCCAACAACAGGTTGACATGCATGCAAGGTAGGGATGTGCATCTCATGACTGAGTCCGATACGATACGCATCTCGATGCATAGCCAACGATACGATACATTAAAGATACATATGAAGCAGCTACCGATGCGATGCGATATGATTCACCCCCGTTACGATGCAGTGCGATCCGATTTCGATTTGATTCGATTCAACACAATGCGATTCGATGCAATATGATGCAATGGAGAAAATATGATCACTTTTAATGCCTCAAGGCCTGTTTCATAAAACAAGTTAACCAAATAAGCCAGGCTTATTTCAGTTAGTCTCATTGTCAAATGATTTGGTTCCATAAAGCAAATTTAACATAGATCAACTTCAGTCACTGTGGCAACTTATGCTGGGAAACTAACCTGGTCTAAAGCAGGTTAACTATCAGACTAAGCTGAGTTCCTCTAAAACTGATCAATCGGAATGCTATTATTTTACTTTTTTTTTTACAGTAGCCAAGCAGAAAGGCTCTCTCTGGTTTTATGACAGCTGTAGGCTACCTTTGCAGAACAGAACATTACAATCAAAAATTGCTCTTTAAAGCATTACAATAACTAAATTAAAAGCTAAAATCACTGAATTAAAATGAAAATAAATAATAAAGAAAATGACTTCTAAACTGCTATAAGAAGCACACATTAACTCATTTGAGCTTAGTAATTAGTACTGAACTAGCTTACATTTGATTTACCCATAACAATAGTCCCTTTACAGTTACTGCTATCATAAAAATACACTTATATGAAGGTTTCAAATTCTACAAAAGGCACATTTAATGTCTAACAACAAATATTTTTGCAAAATGTATATTTTACTCAGAATTATTGTGCGGCGTCTGTTTAGCATGCATGCGCGCTGCAGCGCTCGTTCACTCGCGTGCCTCGCCCACTCCTCCTGACAGCAAAATGGATATATTTGCATGACTTTCTAACATTTACAGATTAAAAATATACTTGTGACATATCAGTTATGCAGTGAGGAAAACACAACGTCTCAAATGCATTAAACAGCACAGATATATTCGCTGTTTGTCATGGTGGATCGATTTGATCCATGATCGACATTAAGGGCTGCTTAAGAATAAGCGTGCACAAATTAGTGAGATTGTGTGAACTTAATTTGTCGTTTATGGAACCGCTTTAGCCCCGATTGATTTGTTAGATCGATTGATTTCAAGTCAGGTTTTGGACTTCAATCCCAGTTTTTTCTCGGGTCTCCGTGGTGTTGTGATCCATCATATTCACGCAGCAGCAGCGGTGATGAGAGAACGCAGTTGACAAACAAATACATAGATCACAGATTATTGGTCACTTTCTAAATAATAAAAGTATAGTGCATCCACTAGTAATTACATATAAATAAATCGGTTTATACCGATGCAAATATGTTAGAAACGATGCATCGCGATACAAATGCCGACTTGTAGCCGATATACACTTTTTAAACCGATGCATCGCATCGTTAACTTTTTATGCCGATGCACTGAGCGAATCGGGGAATCTTCCCTTCCCTAATGCAAGGTCAAAAAACACTTTCATTGTCTTATAATATGCATTTATTTTTACCTTATTTGCTCAACGACTCCCAAACAATTAGTTTAATGATACATTTTTCCAAAATCCCTCCTTTGCATGAAGCTAATCTGCTGTGATTGGTCCGCATCATGCCTGTAATGCCTGATAAAGAGGCGTTTGTGAGCACAGTGCTACTTTGTGTACAGCTGTTACCGGGAAACCGCTATTTTTACCGCTCCAAAAGCAGCCCCTAGTGGAAAAGAATGAATTTGCATTTTCATTCAGACAAACGCTAAAAGACCAACAAGTGGGCGGGCAATATGCTAATGTTTCATGGTGACGTCAACATGAAAGGGCTTGGGATTCGTTTTAAAAACAACTCGTTTCAATGATTTAGAGTCGACTCTTTCTTTCGAGAGACAATAACTTTATACACGGTGCACTTTCTGATTTAAAACTTGGCAGGATGTTTTCATTCACTTAGAGCTGTGTTACACACTGCATGAAAGGTAATTTTCAAAAATCCATAATAGGGGCATTTTAAAACTTTTATTCAGCAAGGATGCATTAGACCAATCAAAAGTGACAGTAAATACATTTATAACGCTAAAAAAGATTTCCAGTTCAAATAAATTATGTTCTTTTGAACTTTCTATTCATTAAAGAAGACTTAATTCACCAAATCAGCATAATCAGATTTCTGAAGGATCATGTGACATACTGGAGTATAGATGCTGAAAATGGAGCTTTGCATCACAGGAATAAATTACATATTAAAATATAATAAAATAGAAAACTGTTATTTTAAATTGTAATAAAATGTCTCATTTTCACATGTTCTTATGGTATTTTTAATCAAATAAATGCAGCCTTGGTGAACATAAGAGCCTTCTTCCAAAAACCTAAAAAATCCAACTTCACACTTTTGATCTTTTGATAGAGTAAAACGGAATTGTGACTGACAGCATCAGAATTTGTTTACAGCTGCAAATAAGCTTGTTTACAATCTTTATCATGATTACCGGTATATGTTATTCCATAGAAAATATTTTCCTAATAAAATGTCAATGAATAAAATCAAGCCTCAACCTGCATTTCTTCCTGTTTTAATCCTGTTTGTGAAAATGTGAAAATATTGAAGTAAATGGATTACCAAAAGCGTTTCACAGTGAATTTAAATGAAGAGCAAAGAGTGACTTTTGCTGTATTCTCTTGCTTATGAGCTTTTTCTTCTGAGGAAAAACACCTTAATAATCTCCCATGTGTCTTTCAAAACAATGCCACAAAAAATTAACAAAGCAAGAGTTTTCAGTATATGATCTCATGACCATTTCTCATCCAAATTCTTCCAAGCCCAAATCATGTGATCTTACTACTAACATGAATTCTACAGCGCTACACTTTTACAGTATGTATGCATTTTGAGATCTTCTCAGTGGTCATCCAGCAGATGGCCACTCCATGACCCCACTTGAGCCATTTGAGAGTCTGTGAAACCTAGAACCAGAGAAACCATTTGAACGAGCAAACTCTGAGCAATAAAATCTCCTTCTGGGAAGAGAGAGAGAGAGAAAGAAAGCCTGAGTAAAGGTGGAGGCAGTGAAAGAAGGCAGACATAAAGATAATCTTGAAGCCCAGAGCACTTGTTCGTCTCTTTCTCATAGCCCTTTCTATTATGTGCTTAGATTATATATGTAATTGTATGCACCCTCTCATCCTGTAAGAGCACTGTAATACCTCTGCTAATGTGCCACACTGCAGAATGGGGCCTGATTGAGAGACACCGTCGACACGATTAAATGCCATGCAATCATTTGCCGGTTTCTGGAAACCTTCAGCTGTCCATTGATTCTCTGCCCTCAATCAGTGATCTCTCTTTTCTTCCGTCTTGATCTTATTCCCCTTTATTTGTTTCCTTTTCCATACTTGGACCCCTGGATAAGAGTTACAGTAGGCCATGGTCTCACAGAGGGATTTTATGGTCTGCCTCTCTTTTTCATAAATCTGTTTTTGTGGGGTCTATTAAAGAGAGGGGCTGTTTTTATGAGGGTGATTAATCACAATGTCATTGTTGCACCGCAGGACCACAGCTATCATACAAAGCTCCATGAAGCTTCACCACACGCCACATACTCGCAATCTACTGCGCAGTGAGTTGGGGAATATTGATTCTTGAAAATCTGTCAAGATCTGTGTGCACAACATTAGGTGTCATGTACAGCCACTAGGGGGCGATGGAGTTGTTTAATGTGAACGTGCCAATTCACCTGTTGGATAGTGTGAAAAACCAATATGCAAATAAATAATATTTCCTAGAAGTTAGTGTAAATGTTTCCCCACATTGAGAAGTGGTGCTTATATAGCAAATGAGTCCAGCTTGCATTGCTTCAATGCTATTCAATAAAATATGAAAAAGACTAACAAATAAAGTTATTTATGAACCAGCGGTCAACATTTTTGCTTTGAAATAATAATTTATTTATTTATTTATTTAATAATATTTCACAATATTACTGTTTTAACTGTATTTTTGGTGAGCCTTGGTGAGAAGCTTGTTTCAGAAACATTAAAACATCTTAATTATTACAAACATTAGACCAGTATAGTGTATTAATATTCTTGTTATGATGGTCATATATAAATATACAGTGCTGGGAAGTAACTGATAACATGTATTCTGGATTATGTAATCAGATTCCAAAAATTAAGTACTTGAAACTAAATTATATAAAATTTTTAAACACTGGTAAAATAGCCTAACACGTATATACATTTAGAAAGTCTTCTAGCTTTTCATTAAACTCATGAACCCCCTTGCAGTTCCTTCACGAACCCAATCTTTGGAAACCTCTGTGTAATGTAATGTTTAATGTACCTCATGTTGTTAATTACAACAAATGGAATATATTTTCTTTCCCTTTGTGCTTTTATATCAGTATGGTACAAGATTCTCTTATTTAAATCAATGTGATTAACGAGTTAGGTCAAACATAATCTAAAAGTAATCAAAAAAGCAGTGTGATTATATGACCTAAAATGTGCAACGTAACGGATGATGTTGCTAACTACAATTTTTGTCATGTAATTTGGAATCAGTAATGGACTACAAATTGAAAGTAATCAGCACTGGAAATATATATAACATATAATTTCAATTTTAGTTAATGCATTTTAATGTGACAGGGGCAAGTCTATTTCAATATTGTATTTTTGTTTAACATATATTTAAATATTATATGTTTGAGATCAAACAATAATTGATGGACCACCTGCAGTACTGCCATAGACCCCCTAGGGCAGGGTATCCTAAACTGGGGTGATGGAAAAAGCTAATAAACAATTAATGAATAAATTAATAATTTTTAAATAAAAACAATAAAAATACGTAAATATGTTATTTGTTGACCTGCATATTATGTGACCATAACTGACATATGAGAACTGTGAATGTACCAATCTGTTGATACTTTTTTTGACTTAACAATCTTAAAATTTAAGGAGGTACAAGAAAATATTCTAGGTAAGGAGTTCGGCTGACAAATAAGTTTGGGAATCCTTGCCCGAGGAGGTTGCAGACAATCTTTTGAAGTGTGGACATCACAAAACGTGTGTTGATTCTCTATTCAGAACTCACTTTCTACATTCAGGAGGATGGGCTGACTGGTCTTGTTCTCTCCGTTCTTGTCGTTGACAGCCTGGGCGTAGTACCGGCCCGCATCAGGGGCCACGGTGGACAGGATGACAAGGGTGTTGTCCAAAGTGAGGGCTCTAAGACGTTAGAGAGAGAACATTAGTCACAGAACTCGAAAACACAACTTGCAAGCGGCAAACACATCAGTAAACAACTCAAACACACAGCAGATCTGAGGAAAACTGTTTAATAGGCTGGGATGGTAATGTTATTTGCATTGAAGACTCGAGTGGATAAGTGTTTTAGGATTGCTGGAGCTAAAATGCAGGTCATGCGTGAGTGCGTGTGGTTAAATGAGAGTCGACACTTGGAGTGCAGCGAGATTAGAGCCTGTGTATCTGTCAGCACAGGCCTGATCAGCCCAGATTAAACCGACTCCAGCACAATTAGAGCGAGGGCTCTCACTGCGTCCAAACCAAATTCACTGTGGAATATCAATGCATTGAAGGAGCAACAAGCAAGCGGCAAACAAATCGTATGCTGTCAGGCCCTCTCACCATCATATAGGACCATTACTGCCGCTCGACAGACACAGAGAGAGCGAGACAGAATTAAGCTCAGAGCAGCACCGCTGGAACCTCAGATGTTTATATAACCCCTGCCTCAATGCTCAGCGTCTCATTGGGGATTCCTCATATACTTTAGCTGAAAAACAGTGTCTGAATGTTCTCCAGTCTGTGCTTTGGGGTGGGGGAACACAATCCTCCAGTGGTGGACAGTAACGGAGTAGTTTTACTTCGTTACTGTACTTAAGTACATTTTTCAAGTATCTGTACTTTACTGGAGTTTTATTTTGAGTAACTTTTACTTTTACTTTTTACTTCACTACATTTTACATTTTCAACAATTCACTGATTCAAATTAACCGTTTAGTGCGAGTCTCCAGTGAACTGAATTCACAAGTAAGAACCGTGAGATCTTGTGAGCGCACACATGACTGATGCTGCTAAAAGTTACTAATGTCGAATTTTAGGATTAATTATTGTAACTGAAAATCATATTTAGGCCAAAACTGTCGTTTGTGAACTAAATCTGCTGTAAAGGGTGATCTATTTAAGCCCACTGAAATGCTTGAATGCAGACACATCAACATCAGTGTCTCTATGTTTTAGGTAAAAAAAAACGAAACATTAAAATAACACAGACTAAATAAAATAACTCATGCACGTTCATATTCCCCGCTATGTGACGTGTTTTTATATTGTTTATCAACAGTATAAATTTTTATATTGTTTGGATTAACTAGCCGAGTAGACAGATATGAATGTTTATTCATAACCCTACTGAAAATAAGTAAATATTGTTAGCTGATGTTAACTGTCTAGCTAACAAGCTTGCCCTAAGTTGTGGTAATTTTTAGATATAAAGTCCAAATATTTTTATTCAACCACCTAGATAGATTGCATCTGGGGAAAAAGAAAGGATGTGATGTTCAGAATATGGTAACTACAGTACTTATCAAAGTGGGAAGTGATGACCTCTGGGGCATTTGGCCAAGGGTGTTTTTACACCACAGACAAGGTTTGAGAAGAAAAAAATCATTATGAAAATATAATTATATTTTCCTTAAAATGTTCTTCCTAACTTCAGTCCTTATTCTCATGTCATATATAACTGTGATGTTCTGCAAAACAACAAGCTTTAAAACACTTTTTTCTTACTGGTGAAAATCAGATGGTCAAATCTGTTTTCTCTCAGGTACATCGCAGTGTAAGCTTCATAGTGAACATTACTACATCACTCTCGTCAACGTAGTCCATATCAACAACAAAAATATATCTTGACTCCATATAGTGGTTATTTTGGCAAAATCCCAGGTAGTTTGAGCAGTAGAATTATAAAACATATGTGCTAATATAAAATTTAATTAAGTAGCCTATATAAAATTGCAAAATAAATCTATCTATCAGTACTTTTTTACTTAAGTACATAAAAAATCGAGTACTTTTGTACTTTCACTCGAGTAAAATTGAAAAAGAAGTACTTTTACTTTTTCTGGAGTAATATTTTATTATACGTATCTGTACTTTTACTCAAGTACTTGATTTGTGTACTTCGTCCACCACTGCAATCCTCAGTGTCTAAAGCCCTCACGTCAGATGTGACATGCTGGACAATCAGCATGAATTATAGATCATCAAACACGCCAGCTGTTTTCGGCGAGCCTTCTGCTGGCGGATGAGGTAAATTGATCTCAGGTGATTACTAAGACCTTTCTAATATGGACTGCGCACACATACGCACACACTAGGCAGTGCGCACTCAGGCACAAAGCCTGTCAATCATCCAAGGTCATCAATAAAGGCCTTTTGTCCACTTTGTCTAATTGGCTCCCGTGTTGCCGGCTTCCTCTCTAGCCTTCAATCACATTTAGTCTAAAGTCAACAGGGGTTCTTATTACACCAGACTTTATCAATGTGAGCTTCTGCAGTAAACACTCTTGGAGTGTTTCTGGAATTTCCAGAGTAATTATACAACAGCATTGTACTCTATTTCTGTAAGGTATAATAGCCTATCTGTGAGAATGAGGGCCATTAAGTTGACTCTGATCCACAAATGAAGAGAAGATTACATGCGGCTGCTGGGGGGAATCTTGCGTCCGTCTCTGAACCATGTGATCCCGGGCCGCGGAAAGCTGTGGATTTGTGGGGGGAAGATCAACGCCGCCTCTCCTTGCGACACCACCTGAGACCATTCTCCCTGCACAAAGCCTTCCATGTCTGAGAAACAGAGAGAGAGAGAGAAGGAGCACAAATCAGGACAAAACAAGAACAGGGACATTGTGACTCATTGTGAAAGAAAACACAAGGTTCCAATCTTGTGATATGACTCTTTTGGCAAATAACACTTGAGGCTTTATTTTCTGTGTTCTTGTTTTCTGTCTTGCACTCAGTTGAGTGTGCAAGTCTTTCAAAGTATTCTCCTTTGACGGTGAGTGTGGATAGACATGATAGACATCAGTGGACTTTACGATGAAAACTATGAAAATACACTCTAAAAAAATGCTGGGTTGTTTCAACCCAATGTTGGGTCAAATATGGACTAACCCAACTGTTGGGTTAAATTTTGGTTACATTTTTAAATTAGCTTTTTAACCCAAAAGTTGGGTTAGTCCATATTTGTCCCAATATTGGGTTGAAACAACCCAGCATTTTTTAGAGTGTAGTATTGAAAATAGCAATAGTGCTATGAATTACTGAATGTATGTTCTCTAAACTTTCAAAAACATCAATCATCTTATGATTTTTAGTGGTTAAATATGAACGTTAAGGGAGCATTCCATTTTATCGTTTTGCTAACATTATGAGAATGTTACTGTTGAATGTTCTCTGAACGATCTAAAATTAGTAACTATTAAAAAACGTTAGATGAACATCCAGCTAAAATGTAAAAAAAAACATTCCATGAATGATGTATACATAACATTGTTGTGCTAAAGTTTTTAGAACATTATTAAAGACTAGATAACTTTCTATTAATGCTACAGGAAGAACGTTTGTTCTTAAATTGCCAGAAAGTTAGCCAAAGTATGCTCTCTGTTAGCTGGGAACTTGGTTTGACGTGACAAGTTTCTAGCATCAGCTTTTCTATATGCTAATTTGTCTGTGCTAAATTAACAAAGCAACAAAACTGCCAATCAAAATGTTTTAGAATCCATAAACCTAGGTATTCAATTTTGGTACATTAATCATCTCACACTGTTTGCACTAAAGCTGCCTCATATCATCATCCCTTATCTAAAGCTCTGATCACATTTACAATTATTGGACAAAATCCAATCATTAAATAGAATTATGTGGATTTCACAACTTGTTCAAGTTGGTCACACGGATTTGCTGACTTCTCTGAACCGTGCTTCATGTATTATTACACTATCGACAACAGACAATGACCTTTTTGCTCTATTAGCAAAAGTGTGATATCTTAAGCGACCACACTTAAAGCTTTAGGATTTCCTGTTTGTATTGTGTTAGGATATGATGTGACACTTACAGGCGACCTGGACTTGTGAACTCCTCTGCATCAGAGCTCCCACCCTGTTCCTGACGATGCATCTGTAGAAGCCTGCATGGGAGCGATCCAGTGACGGAATGACGTACCTGGTGAAAGAAAATCGGAATCCCATCAACCATTGTTTGCTACTTTTCATACTCACAGCATGGAAGCTTGCAGCTAGCCCGGGTTATAATAAATGGCCTTTGATCCAAAAAAGCTATTTATTGGTCCATAATTAATCAAACAGTCCAAGCTTCTACTCGAGTGCAGATCAGGCCACAACACTCAGCCAGCTCAGGGTGTTCATGGGTAACCTGTTGAAGAAAAAACCCTTCCCCTTCAGGAACTCGAGCTGCGGCGAGATTCGCTTTGGGAACGCCCTTGTGTGACCGCGCTCTGAAGCACGTGTCAAATCAGTCCAATGGAGCAGCGAGACGTCACGAGCGGGGTGACGTAAGCACCAGAAAGCATAAAAGCGCATCCGGCAGAGCGCAAACCAGCTTCTGCTCTTCAGTAGCGCTCTGTGTATGTGTCTGTCTATTTACTGTTGTCTGTCCGCACAAGCACTCATATATATAAAACAATGAGAAAGTCCTCCCTGCCAACGATATCTGACGGCAGGGGATACACACGATTTGTGTGTCGTTTGTTTGGGAGCGGAGCATGCACGGTCAGCTCTCGAGGGGGCTGATTGTCATGACTGCGAGCTGCTCTCGCTGCGCACGCTCTGCTCTCGCCTGGCCGTGTTTGATGAGAGCGGCCAGGCTCACGATCACGCGGGCAGCGGTCCCGCTGTTGCCGAGGCACAGCGCAGACTGTTGTTGTGGGGATCGCAAGTGGATTTAGCGGAGGGATCCGAGACGGGCTCTTCCTTTTCTCTGTCCTCACCCGCTAGATATGCGGCTCTCTCTCAGGGTTCGGAAGCCCACGCTGCGGTTGCTTCCCCCCGGAGAGAGAGCCAGGCACTTCATCTATCTTCTTCCGAGGAGGTAGAGGTGATGAGTGTCGAGACAGAGGAGACTGTGGACTCGCCACCGCAGTCCCTCGCGTATGAGGAGCTCGTGGAGGTTGTGACTCGTGCTGTAGCCAAGTTAAATATCGATTGGCCAGCCGAGAAACAGGACGCTTGTCCTAAGAGCAAATTAGACTAGCGTTTCCTGAAAGTGAGGTCACAGTCTTCACGACGGGGCCTTCCGTTTTTTCCCGATCTCCATGCTAAGGTGTCAAGATCGTGGGAAAAAAAATATTCTTCCCGTATATATAGCCCCACAGTCTCTAATTATTCTAATATCGTGGGGCTGAATGAGAAGGGATATGGGGCGATGCCAATGGTGGACCAAACGCTCGGGAGCTATCTCTCCCCATCCTCAGCATCATCCCTGAAGGCCCCGAAGCTTCCCACCAGGCCTGTTAAGCTTACATCTAGTCTGGTTGGGAAAGCTTATACGGCAGCAGGTCAGGCTAAGGATAAGGACAGATCCTTCCTCCTAGACGCCCCGCTTTCACCCTCTGGCCTTTTCGGCGACGCAGTTAACACTGTCGTCGAGAGGTTCCAGGAGACGAGAAAGCAAGCCGCAGAGTTTCAACAGTTCCTTCCTCATCGCTCCCAGGCCCATGGGGCTGCTGAGCGGGAGCAGCCCCAGCCCCAACCGTCAGGCTCCTTATATCGCCAGTCACAAAAACAGAGCGTTGCAACCCGCACCGCAAAAGAACGGGGGTCGGGGCGACGCTCTCAGTCGGGGCCCTCTGGAACGAAGACGGATCTGCGGACTGTTATTTTGTCGAAGAGGACCTTGACTAAGCGGTCCTGACGCCAACATTGTCAGGCCCCTGAGGGCAGCCCCACCTGGGGAGGAAAGGATAACACCTCAGTATACGGTGCCCAATCCTCCTCAGTGCCCTCATGGAGAGTCACCGATAACCCTGCCACCCTCAGTGCTTCAGGGCTCAGTGAGCTCCGACAAGCAAAATTCCCAGCTGCCGCCCAGCAACGGTACGGCACAGGAGAGCTCGCCCCCTCAAGTGAGGGTTCTACAGCAGTCGGGTCGGTCATTCCCTGCCGGTCATCCCCTTCAGGGCACCGAACTGGCTCCTCTAATAACACTAGAGGCCAGCCTCGAGAGGCTGGTTCCCTTAGTAGATTTTCTGGTAGTGTGGAAACTTCTACCAAATATCTCAAAATGGGTCCTGCAGATTGTAAAGAAAGGTTACAGAATCCAGTTCGGTTCTCGTCCGCCTCGTTTCAACGGGGTCATCCCCACACTAGTGGGCCCTGAGCAGGCTCTGGTAATGGAACAAGAAGTAGATACTCTCTTGAGGAAGGGGGCCATAGAACGTGTTCCGCCTCTTGAGAGAGCGTCCGGGTTCTACAGCCGTTACGTCATCGTTCTGAAGAAGGATGGGGGGTTGCGTCCGATCTTAGATCTCCGTTTTCTGACCTCGATGCAGGCACGTCTGTCTCCTGCTCGAATTGAGTCAATCCTCATGACAGTCATGAGAGTAAGAGAAGGCCAGTCACTTACTGTCAAACATTTTCAAAGGCTGTTGGGCCTGATGGCAGCAGCATCCAACGTGATACCTTTTGGCCTGCTGTACATGAGACCCTTGCAGTGGTGGCTCAGAACCAAGGGATTTTCCCTGAGGGGGAATCCGATTCACATGATCAAGGTCACGCGGTGATGCTTACGTGCCTTAGACATGTGGAAGAAATGTTGGTTCCTGGTTCAAGGCCCGATGTTAGGGGCTCTTTGTCGTCGCGTAACGCTAACGACGGATGCCTCTCTCACGGGCTGGGGAGCGGTCATGAGTGGCCCAGGGTCTGTGGGAAGACCATCATCTCTTTTGGCAAATCAACTGCCTGGAGATGCTGGACGTGTTTCGAGCTCTGACACACTTACATTTACATTTACATTTACATTTAGTCATTTAGCAGACGCTTTTATCCAAAGCGAATCAAGACTATCTTTCTCCTCGCTATTTCCTCACTGAAAAGGAAACTCTCTGTTTCGTGCCTGGAATTTTCTCCAGGCATGGTTAGGGCATTCCTTTACCCAAGGGCCTGGTATGTCCCTAAGGTGCCCACTTCTTCACCAGGGCCCATAGTACTTCAGGCATTCTGTCCTCCTCCATTCCAGGAAGTAGGCCAAGAAAGGCTTAATCTGCTCTGTCCAGTTCGCTTACGTCACCCCGCTCGTGACGTCTCGCTGCTCCATTGGACTGATTTGACACGTGCTTCAGAACGCGGTCACGCAAGGGCGTTCCCAAAGCGAATCTCGACGCAGCGTCTCGTTCCCTCGGGGAACCATGGTTACATACGTAACCTAGAGACGTTATCAACAATAGATAGGAGTCCTCAGGCAGCTTTGGAGCTGCGGTCACAACAAAACACAGGAGTGGCCGTTAACACAACAAAGGAGAGAAATATTTATGTGGATGTGGGCAGGGTTGGATTATGGATAGGGCCCTGGGGCCTCAGACTAACAGGCGCCTACAAAACATCAGGTTGGATGACCCGAGACCATCAAAGGAAGCTGAACACTAGAGCCGTATACAATGAAAGCCAACCACTTGCTGACCACTGGGAGACCTGGCCCTCGAGTACAGTACAAATTGACTTCTAGGGGCCCCTCATGGCATTAAGTGTGAGCTGAACCTGATCTAGTTTTGCATGTTGCATTAAAATGCATGTTATTGATCTTAATGTTGAACTCCGCCCCTTTTCTTACAATGGACACAACAAAGTCTCCATTCTACATTTATGTACTTCATATATATTCAATGCAAAATGACCACTAGGGGCACATTTTATAACCTTTCAAAACCAAAGTTCCCAAATAGAGTTGGGAGATTTTTGCAAAATTGTTATACGTTGTTATTAGACTACTATTAATATATATAGAATATATAGAATAGTTCAACCAAAAGTGAATATTCCTTTCATCTTTTACTCAACGTCATACCGGTCCAAAACTGTATGTCTTTCTTTCTCCATTGAAATGCAAAAGAAGATATTTTGAACAAAAATCATACAGGTTTGGAATGACATGAGGGTGTTTAAATGATGAAAGAAATATTCCATTAAGACGACTGTAGGTTTTGAAGATATCTTAGTCAGTTAATGCAAAATGAGGGGTCTTGGATATGGGTTAATCATGTGCTTTGAACGTCTGTGATGTATGCTATTGAAATAAAAACTAAAACTAGGCCGCCAACATGAAAACATGAAGTACACAAGTGTGTTTTTACACCTACGCACACTGCTTCAGTCACGAGCCTGTGGCAAGACCTATTAGTTAAATGGAGTGATAAAGAGAGAGCTGAGCATGTGGGCAGTGGCACTTTTACTCAACCAGACAATGCTGCCTCATTTTTACACCGCCAGCTCTTTTTCCGATACTAGTTTTCCTGCATTACCAGTCGCAGGTTTAATATGACCTGCTGAAGAGGATTCAAGCTTTTTCTTTGATCAGTGGATGTGAGGAATATAAAGAAGAGAGCAGGTCCCCACTCGTAGAAAAAGAAAACTATGTAAACACACACACACATACACATCAGTGTCTGAAACATAGGAGACTGCTGGGAAGTTTCAGTCGTTAGGGATCTTTTGGAGATGCTCTGTGGACTGCGTCAGAAGCACTGCTATTGTCTTGACTGACAGGCAGAAAAGCCGTAGCGAGCAGGAACCTCTTCAAGAGGCCAGAACACTTCTGACTCGACCCCTACTTAGAGTGAACACTGTGGGTAGCTTAGACTTTTAGCTATTAGGACGTCTTATAATGCAAAGGCAAATATGAAAGAGTCCATCTGGAGTCCTGTGGTCAGCAGGTACAAAGAGTGCAGGAATAGAAAACAGCCAAGCCACCTCACTGCAATCAGAGAGAGAGAAAGAAAAAAAAACACTTTGCCTTTTCAAATATAAATATTACATAGCTCTTGAAGCTATTGAAAATAATTCACAAGGTACTCGGCTACCTGCTATTTCTTGATGGATAATTCTGCACTGCCTTCAGGAATACAACATTTATGCAGAATACATAAAACAAAACATGGACGACAGGGATCGCTCAGGAAATACATCTCATTCTCATTTAATGTGAGCTGAGAGGCAATATGAGTGTGATTTCATGGCTGCAGAGGGAATGAGGCACTACAACTCAAGAGGATTACAATCCACAAACGCTCCTGACTCACTAAAAAGAAAGAAGACAATTTAAATAAATAGCGTAAAAAAACGGAATGAAATTTGTTGCAATTGAAAGCGTGGTTAATGTTCTATTTGTGATAATGATTAAGCTGTCTGAGCGATAAATGCGTGTTTCTTCAACTACATGCACTTTCGTGACCCAGGGGTTGATTTTTATTCAAATTAAAAGATTTAAATTTTTTCTATTTGTTATATGAAGGTCTAATTAAAATGGTTTTGGAAACTTTTTACCAGGCTTTTTACCACATTATTTTCTTTATTACTTTTTAAATGCGTTTTATGAATAGATTTTATTGTTTTATTCTTCTCCCAGACCCTGTCTTTCAATCTTAAAACATGAAAATTCACTACAAGGAGAATTTTTTTAATTGTGCATCATAGCTGTAACTTTGCAGATTAATATGCCATTTTGTCAAATTGTATATATATATAGTGTGTGTTTAGGAAACATGAAATGGTAGCCACACAAAAGAGTTAAGATTTATTCTTAAAATGTCATTTTTTTAATAATATGGGGAAAAAACTTTTGTGTAAATGTCAAAATTAAAATGTCATTTCCATCGCCATCACTTATTGCACCAGAAAATGTTATTAAATGCAATACATTATTTGAAATGTGACATTGTGCTGAAAATGTTCATGACTTACAAAAAAAATTAAAACAACAACAACAACAAAAAGTCATGCATGTTCACTGTTAAACATTATTAGTGCACAAATGAAATTAACTAGTTAAGAGTGTGAAAAGTGCATTTTCAAAATGTCTACTGGGCCAAAAGTGCTCATAGCTGCAGAAACACTCATGGGAAGATAGGAAGTGTCACCTGTACTCCAGGGAGAAACGCGTCAACTCTGTACCATTGTAAAGCCATTTAAACTCCAGAGGCCAGCTGCCCTCAGCCATGCAGGTGAGAACCAAACGGTTTCCTTCCAGGTGGATTTGGGTTGCCACCGGCTCCATCTTGAAGTAGGGTGGGACATCATCTGGAGGGAGAGAGAGCGAGAGAGAAAGAAAGAAAGAGGCTTAGCGTGTTTCACTCAAGTAGGACATGTTCCTGGATCAACATACTTGTAAGTCCAGAGACAACATTTCTATCAACCAATCCAATTTAAGGGTGAGATTTAGAGTTAAGCTTAGGGCTGAGGTTACATTTACATGTATTCATTTTAGCAGACATCTTTATCCAAAGCAACTTACAAACCAGAATAATACAAGCAGATTAAGTATAAAATAGTGGAGAACAATGCTAGTTACTGTGGTGCTGGCATCTTCTGTAAATGAAAATAAGTCTTTTTTATTATTATTATTTTTCTTTTAGGTGAAAAGCATAAGAAAGACTATTTACTTTAAACCATTGTTCTCAACTAGAGGACCGGGGCCCACTTGAGGGCCTAAGCCAACTTCCAGGTGGGCCCCAATAAGTTTTAAAATTTAATTTAGTTACATTTACATAATCTTAATTAAAATGCTCACAAATACAAAATGTACATTAAACATGAAACTGACATTTTACATTCAACCAACATATTTTATTCATTTTTATTAAGGCAGAAGTATTAGCAGGTATATATACCTCTTAAATAGGAGGGCCTTCAAATATGGTCTTGAGGGCCTTAGAGTCAAAAAGGTTGAGAACCACTGCTTTACACTTAGGACTACCAGCAAGCAAACAATAGTATAAAATGTTTGTGTGTTTACATTATATTAACATACTAATATAAAGTCACATTTTTGCTTCAAAAATAATAACTACACTAATATAGTAATCAGCAGCAAAATGTGTATTTAAATTATTTGTTAGTACTAAATGTTGTTTGGCTATTATTATTCACCGTTCATTATTTTTATTTCTTGCATTTATTTTATTTTCTATAGTTTTATTTATTCTTTTTGAACCATTAATCAACAGATCCTGGGTAAAGTCATTCCAAGTTCATTTCAATTCATGTGGCGAAGTTCAAGTGAGTGACTTGTTCTTTAAAGTTTAATTTTTAGCCTTATATATATATATATAGTGGCAACACATCAGAGCCTGTGCACTACCCATCAGGCCACGTATTCAACAGGCTATAATTGTTTGAAAGAGATGTTGTTTACTACCAACAAAGAAAGATGAAATATATCTCACGGCTGAATCACGTCATGCTGAGAGTGAGAGAGACAGAAACATAAGCAAAAGAAGGCATTAAGAACGATAAGGTAAACACGATTTGACAAACTGAATTTGGCCTCTTAAAATATAAAAGGCAATTTAAGTAACGATTTGTCTGTTGTGACGCTGAGACGCTCTGGAGACATCTGAAGTCTTGATAGAGGGAGGGTGAGGTGAAAATTTCAGAGGCCTGACGGGCTAAGTGAGGGAAGGTTTTGAAGATAACTTTAAGATGCAGTCACTCCGCCTGCAAACCTGACAGAATGAGCTATAGTGTGCTGGGGAATCCATTAATCTTCAGTCTTTCTAAAACAGCCGGATTATACAGATTCTCAGGCAAACACAAAGCCCTGCATGCGGCTGCCTTCAGCCAGGAGACAAAGTGATTTCATTTCCTTCACGAGGAGCAGATGATGGGACCTATCGATCGCAACCGAGTGGTTCTCTGTAGGTGACATGGATCTGATTGTCATTGTGTTTGTGAAAAGCCAATTAAAGCTTGTATTAATTGAGGCAATAACCTAGCAAGCCCTGGAGCTCTGTTGCAGGGATGTTAAACATTGTGCTAATTTCTCTGTGCTGTGAGGTGCACTGAGAGGCATTTTACGGAGTCTCTCCTCTAGGTGTCATCACCAAGTATATACAGATCTCAGTTTGAACTGAAAATAATACACAAGTATATGATACATATTAACAACTTTCACAGTGTGGTTGGGTGAAGGCAACTGAAAATGTTGTCTGGGGCCCGTAGACAAGGAGGGCCTTAATAATGATGAAAGCATATTCATTCCCAGATTCTTATACCTATATTTTTATATTTTCGCTGTGGTTATGCATGTACGTATAAGTACAATCATAATAACAATCATAAAACACACCTACACGTTCCCCTGCAAGAAGAATGGGTAATTTTTTTCATTTTTGGGGCTGTTATCGGCCTAATCAAGCCTGGTACAACCTTCTAAATCATTGCCTTTGGGTAACAGGCTCTTGAAAACAATTCCTCTGTGAGCAGATATAGACTGCCAGTCATTTCAAATCCACTCCCCACCCAGTCCTCACTATCCCCCCACCCTGAGTGCACAGCGCTCGCCAACCATACCACCACAGTCATTTTATCCTCCAGTAAATTCAGCCATTCAGCACAGCCAGTGGAGAGACACATCCACTTAGCAAACCCGCACTATAAACATACCACCATTAGAGACCTCAGGTGCAAAATCAGGCTCCACATCAATTGGCTGAAAGCAGCATCCCCCCTACAATGATATGATGGACGGTTGTGCATATGTGTGTGTGGTTTGGCTGTATGATTGTTTGTGCCATCTTATGAAATCTCAACTAGACTGCCCGCAGGAAAGAAAAAATGACACTTTCTTTGATATCTCATTCGTTTCTCCTAGACAAAAATCACATTAAATGAAGAGAAAATGGAGGCTTTTAATTTTTTCCTGAGAAAAATACTACCCAATAATAGCCCATATTTGCCAAGGTGCCAAAGATTTCAATATAAACTCAATTTAAATATTTCTCATCAAACTCTTCATTTAATCTACTAAATTATAGCAATCTTTTATAATATGCACATTAGTCTCTTTATAGATACAGTATACTATACATAGGCATAATACTGATTTACAAAGTGGGTGTGTGCGGGTGGGGGTGCATATACTTATATACATAAGAAGTCCTTGCTGAAAGGCAGGTAAATGGTCGCTAACAATAACAGATTACAACTCATTGCTTATTCACTTATCCACTGTAAAAGCATTTGGTTGGCAGAGGCCAGCTGCCATTTTGTTTTCGTAGGTGGCTGAAACTTTAAGCGATTATTTCCTAAACAGCCTGGGGCAAGGACTACATTAGTGGTGGTTAATAGTGGCTAATACCTCTGCTCTATAGTCTTACTGTAGGTTACCAACTGCCCCATGTGTGTGTGTTGTTGTTTTTTTTCTAAGGAATATTAGGAGAAACAGAGATATTTTAAACAAAATTGAGAACTCCATAATGTCTGTCCCCTATGAAAGACAACCCTCTACACAGTTTTCCTTTGAAAGAGGCATAACTGAGGCCTTAGATTTTAAACTGCTTCTAAAGAAAGTTATGCTGTTTGTCTAAACTGTTAATGTTTGTGGTCGAGAGATCTCAAAATGGTTGGAGCAGCTGTGTTGTTTTAGGTAAAAAAAAAATGAACAGGGTTTTTGTGGCCAAGTACACAATGCGGTAAAAATTTCACTCCCATGGGTTCCTATTATGTCAGATGAAAGGTTATGTTAGCATGAAATGGAGGCAGAGCACAGACTAGTTTGCAGAGGTCTGACATTGTCCTCACATAGGAAGCTTCTTGGTGCTGAGAGCGATCTCCATATTGTAATGAGAATGTCAGTCAGTGCCTGTGGCCTCTTCACTGTTTGAGCACCAGGCTTTGATCTGCTGGGGCTCAGGCAGGGTTAAGCAGCTCTGTTTCTCACTCTCTAAAATCCTGCTCTGAGTGGGCGGGCTAGGTCTGCAGGGGAGCGTGCCCACAGAGAGAAAAAAAACCCAGGTCAGGATGATTCTAAACTCAGCCTTAATGAGCCATAACGCAGGTGCCATTGCTCATCAGAATCCCTGTGGTTTGGAAGTGGAAGAAAAAGATCAAACTAAAGGAAGGTGCCTTTTTGTGTTGATCTTCATGGGGGGGCAGCAGGAGATAAGAAGCATTTCAACGTGCACTAGGTGAATGAAGTGTGGTATATTGAGGTTCCTTCCACACATTGTATGTTTGTGTGTGGGGGTGTTGGGTGGCGTGGATTGTTGGTCCAGATGGAGAACCTATAGGGGAGGTTCCTCTGTGGTGGAGGAGCCCTGCAGCAGGCAAGCTGAGCTGGCCAGATTCAGGGGGCGTTTAATGTTCTCTTCATGCTTGGTTGGGCTGAGACCATCATTCTGCTGTGCCCTTATCCACCTTGCCACCACTGGCCACCTTAGAAATGACAAAGAAGCATTTCCACTAACCTGACAGCCAACCTCGAATGGCAACGCTCCACTCAGGCTGCTGTTGCTCTAGCACACACAGAGTTGTAATAGCTCCGAGACAAAGGCCACAAGTGCCAGCTCAGATCCATAAAGCATGCCCCTCAGAGCTTTCACTGCACCTTGCTGGCACGCAATCATACTCTTGGGGCTTGGACTGAACACTTGTTCTGCAATTCCATCCCTTATTCCAACACGATAGGGGCCATGTCCCCTTCCGCTTAATCCTCTGGCACCTGTGCATAAGCACGTTAGCCAATACTGCTCTTCTCATCACAAAGGTTTAGAATAAGTGGAGGCAAGTTCTAGGCAACCTCTGGCTTAAAGCTGTTTTTTAAGAGGTACCTGTTTCTAAATCATTGTAGAACCCTGGGGTAATGGTCACCTCTGCTTTGTCTTGCCAAATAAAGGTCACAATACTTCCTGTAGTGCCTGTAAGCGTAACGGTGGCCATGTCCCTAGCCTTTTGGTGCAATACTGGAGAAGTCCGTGTATTTGCGTGTTTGTCTATCTGCTGGTCCAGGTGAGTGTATGAGACTGGCACAGGAACTATCCTGCTCTGCGCTCCTGGTTCCTGCTAAAGGTCAGCCTGATCTGTCACTCTCTTTCAGCAGCGGTTGTCACGGTGACAACCGGCACCCTGCCGATTTACACTTCATCAACTCTCCAAGTGTGCAAAGTGCCCTCCACCCTGGCAGCAAGGAGAAGAGCCCCATTACCCTTCAGGCCAAACAAGCATTTTGGCGCATTAAGACAAACACAGATGCAACAGCAGTGTGGCCACAACACTATCGTCACCGTCACATTCTGCATTCC